TTTCTGGTTTGTTCTGCTTAGTTAGTTACCTAGCTTTATATTAGTGTTATTAGCACAAATCATAACAAAGAAAATAACAACATAAGTATAGAGACGCAAAAATTCAATATCCAATTTATTATTAAAAAAATCAAAAAAATAATAAAATTTAAAGAGTTGTTCTCATAATAAATATTTTATCAATGGGGTTTAATTTGACTTAGTGCCCTGAAACAAAACAACAACAATAATGAACAATATATGCATGTGATTACATATTTCATTTACTCATATGTACTTACACGTACTAACAATTAAATGTATAGTAACATACATTTGTGAATAGAGATAATTTTAAACTATAATTTTTTAAACAGAAGTTGCCAAGTTACGTATGTAACACTGCACTCTAATTACAAAATTACTCTAATAATGCACTCTAATATTTAACTTAATTTCATTTGTCAAAAAACATATTTTCCAACATATTGTTTTATTAAAATTATTCTCTTATTGCACACAGCTACATACATAAATACGAGTATACATATATAGACACCGAACCTAAGACAGGAACAAAAAAGTAAAACTAGTAGGTACATTTCAGAATCATCATAATTGAATAAGATCATGTAAATAGCTTTGTGATTACACAATAGAACTGTGAGGCGCTGTCTTAAATTAAAAAAACCTAATACTCACAAGTGCCCCTCAAAAAACTAGTTCATTGTATAGTTACAAAAATTGTCTTCTGGATGGAAGTATAAAATATACAAAATTATAAGACGGATTTAAACCCAACTTTTTATTCTTTTCAGCACTTTTCCCAAAAAAAATTTGAAAAAAGGTTTGCTTATATGTTTAACTTTGTCTGTCTATTTGTCCATTTGTGTAACTTCTTCACCCTGTAAGATAGAAAGTCGAAGTTCACCAACATGAATGACATTTTTATGGGAAGTATCCGTCAACCATTGTTGTCTCAATTCAGATTACAATTTGGTAGGATTATCGTTAATAAGATCATCACTATTATTGGATATTCTTACTGGATTGCAAAATTTCTAGGTAAGTTGTTAAAATTTTATTTTCATTATAAGAAAATGCAAATATAAATAAATCTAATTGAGACATCTATGGCTTATCAACTAGTTGAAGTAAATGTTACGCATTTTATAACTTTTTGAAAAGCTTTATTAAAAATTTTGTCTTTTTAGTTAAGTAAATAAAATTAAAAGTAACACCTTCTGGCAGCATTTTGGTCACTTGAAAAAAAGGGGGGGAAGATAATTAAGGATAAAATATGCTGCAGAATTTGTTTTGGACAAGGGATCCCAGTAACCTGTTACACCATTAAATCCATAAATTCTTGGAAAATTATAAAAAAAATTTATATTTTATCTACAGCTTTATTCTCAATAAGCTTGGGGAATCATAATAAAACCATTTTGGGGTTATCGCATGAACTAATTACTTCGTGGAGGGATGGCACTTGGGTTTCCGTAATAATTTTAAAATACATCCCAAGCATACATCCCAACCAATACAATTTGGTAATTGTTTTTAGTCAGCGTTTAAATGCATTTGCAGTATGAAAAACTATTGAAACCCCCTGCATTACGCCAAATTTGAAAGAATTATTGAGAGCTTTTGTTGTCCCGGAAGGACAAGAAAGAAATGCAACAGATATTCTTTTATTTCTCAAAAGAGTTTCCCTGCTATGTCAAATCGAAACTTTCAGAGATCTTATATCATTAGATTCGGCTTATTTTTTATTTACATAAATAAATATAACTATGTACGTTTTATTTCATGTTAGTTTTCTTTTAAACATACACTGTGGATTGGGCCTGTTAGGATTATCTCCAAGATGGTAGAGAATATGCTTTTGTTGAAAAGGAGAGAGTTTAATAATAACAGGGTAAAAAGGGTTAATTGTAATGGAATGGAAGAAAAAATTTTACTTTTAGTAAATATTAAAAATCAGTTGTAAATATAAGAAAGAGAAGTCCTTATAATATTTTTTATTTTGCATCTTTTTCATTCAAAAAAGTAGATTCCTTTCCTTTGATTACGTCATCTATTTGTTCTGCAGTTGTATGAAGAAATTTCCATTCAGAGTTAATATTGTTAGTGTAATAGACACAATAACTAATTAATTAAACAACTACACGTTGCAATTCGGTAATGTTATTAGTGTAATAAGCATATATGTATCTATAAATATGTTCTTGTGATTGTGTTTTTCAAATAGAAGATTGCATGTAGCCTCTCATATAAACAGTATACTTGGTAATCATGTGAATTACAGTATAAAGCAATGTGATGAACAATTGTCCACCTAGTTGGTAAGGTATCCGACTTCCAATAAAATTACCAAATAACGTTATAGAATTTTTATTGAATCCTTTTTAACAACGCACAAAATGGCAATGCCCGGTGTATATTTTCAATTTATTGTTTGCTCTAATAATTTCGAAATACTAGGTTTTGGTAAAGATTTTTTAAACAACTAACCGGCATGTAACGCATCTCTAGCAAATCCACTAAAACTTTCAATTTCACATATACATATACATATGTATATAATGTATATATAAGTACATTATAATTTAAAAATTTCAAAAAAAATCTTTGATCATTTTTTTAGTGATAAGAAAATTATATTTATAATATAAAATAAAGGCTTCAAGTTCTAATGTTCTGAATTTGTAATTGTAATGTCATCCTTGATCTAAAAAAAAAAAACTAACATTTTTTAATATGTCTAAATTTTCTCTCTAATCACGCTGTGTTTCAGAAATATTTTTTTTTCTTAAATCATACTTAGATTAATTACAAATATTTAAAAAAAAAGAAAATTTAATGATATTTCAACTAATTTCAATAAGCAGGTCTTGATTATTTACTTTGAAACTTTAAATGTATAGCAACACTTCTATGTGTTTGGAGTCAAAAATACAACATCAATATGCGTTGTGTATTCAAAACCTTAAAATCTAAATAATTACACTATTAGCTACTATTGCGGTACAAAAAATAAAATTTAAATTAAAGAGTAAATTGTGAAAATTAATTTATCATTAAATCAAATGCCAAAAATATTTCAAATACATCCATCAATATACACCTTTTCCGATATTTTCAAAATAAGAGCCTCAAAAGTATACAGCTATGCTCTTCCAATCTTTTAGAATATTTTTTTCTTTTTTATTGTAAATTTTATTTTAGAATTTTTGTTTTTTTCATTTTTAGGAATCATGTTGATTTTTTTTTTAATTTTTTTACTTGAAATATATACAAATAAAAATTTAAAAGAAAAGAACAAAATTTTGATTAATATTTTTGCTATCAATTACACTAAAATTAGTGATTTGTGTATAAACACGTAAGAAATCTTAAATAAACTTTTCACTCAAAAAATTTCTGAGGCACTATCAATTTTAAAATATACGTACAACACTTAAATATTCATAACACTAAATTTAAAGCAATATTATATACATACGTATATACGTATACAATATGTTAATGTATAGGAATAAATGAATGAATACCATTTTAAAATGTTATAAATTAGATAAATAAGATGATAAAACAAAAAAAATAAAAATAACACAAAATACAACCATATTTCAAATATCAATCAGTACATAATATTTTAAAAATAAAGATATCACAAGTCAAAAATAATGATAAAAATAAATTATTATACGAGTAGAAAATTCTAAAATATAAAAAATAGAATTGCTTACTAAAAAATAATTGCCTTCTTATTTAAAGCTCTTGATTTATTTATTTCTCTTTTTTTTTTAAATAAACAAAAAATTTAGACAGACAATTTCATAGAATTGAATTTGTTTTCCTCTTTTTTTTAAAAATATTATTTTAAATTTTTGCAAAATATCCGTTTTTTATCAATTTCAATGACAATCACATTGAAATTATAATTGTTACAAAATTGTACTCTAGTTTTGATCACAATTTTGTGAAATTATAATGATCTGCAGTTCATTGAAACTATAGCTTTTAGCAATACCGAAATTTATATTACCGTTATAAGAAGTATAAAGAGCAAATTCCCAATTAATGTGATGCCGTAAAGAAAACATTTGAAAAATTCGTTATTTATTTTACATGTAAAACTAAGGCATACTAATTTTGATAATGACGTCATTGTCAAACAAACAACATTCAAACAACAATAACATAGTATTCCAAACAACATGATTCATAACGTAAACCTTTAATTCATCGTTACTTATATTTATTAATAAGTGTTGTTTTAATATCAATATTATCTATACTTCTTTTATATTTAAGTATTTTAGAATATCAGATTATAAAATTTTTAAAGTAATATAATCGTATACTTATATATACAGCCAATGAAAGGTATAAATAAGGTATACGTTAAGTAGGTGGTTTGTTGATAGATAAATAAGTTAGGTTATAGTTTCAGAATTTCGAAATTAAACTTAAAATTTCACTGCATTTCCTACTGGTGTCATTTCTCTTTTGAGGTCAAAATTATATGCTCCTTTGGAATTTTTCGTTACGTTTTTGACTAAGAATCATACATTTACATTTAAACCAAAATTACTATATATGTCAAATTCTCAACGCAGATTATTAAAGTAATTCCTTGTTTTACAACCTGGGTTGTGACAATATTAACTCTATACACTAACTAGATTTTTTTCCCAGGAACAATACTAAATACTCATTTAATGTAATATAGTTTATATTAAATTGGTAGTAGAGGTTTTTTTTGTAAATATTGCTTTTGAACTACTAATTATTAAAACTATTTTGACTTAGTACTTTGACAAATTACTTTTGGATCTCTTTTCAACTAAATACAATGTGCATTACTTTTAAATTATTTATCTTAAGAAGGAATAAAATGACAAATTATTATTTTAGAATTCGAAGGCACATACTTAATTTTGATAGTCAAATTAAAGTATTAAAAAATGTTAATAAATGCTATATTTTTTACATTTCTCAGAATAAATACTTACATCATAAAAAATTTCAAAAACATTTTTTTTTTAATGAAACGCCGGTATGTAGAGTGTAATAATTCTACATTACATTTTAATTTACTTGACCCCCTCCATCAATACAATGATAATTAAAAATAAAAATAAATGTTTTTTGTTTTTTTTTGCTTAATATCATACTTTCGAAATTTCCAATTTTACAATTAAGTAATAGAAATTTTTTTTTATCTTATTGTTTTCATAATTATTGAATTTGAGCATCACACCTCAAGAGAAATTTTGAAAATTTTTATTTTCATTTTACACTTATAGATTTAAAACTTTTATTTACGTATATCTATTATATTTGAATTACAATATTTAAAGGTTTATACAATTATTTATAGCTATTTATCATTGAAACAATGAGCTTCAGAATTAATATAAAAAGAAAATATAAAAAATAAATAAATATAATACAAACCAGAAGAATTTTAATACGAGATAATCCCGCTGTGATGATCTATGTTAAAAATGATCTATGTATGTATGTAGGTTCAGATAATATTAAAAATTTTTACTTTATTTTGTTTCAGACTTATTTCTTTAATTAAGTATTACTATTGCAATATATACATATGTATGTATGTAAATAAATTTTAATTTAAATTCGATATATTTTGAAAAAATGCACTTAAGTATCTTAAAAGTAAAATTATAGTTTTCACAATTCAATTACTTAATGGCGATAATTCTATTTTAATTCGAGATTATTCTTTGGCAAAATATTCACGTATTTATAAATAATATAAAGTACATATATATAGCGTTTTTATTCTAAACGAAGTTTTAGAAAATACAAATTTTTACTTCATTCAGGTTTAGCCAAAAAAAAAAAAAACAAAATCTTAAAATAAAATCACTAAAAATCACTTATTTTTGTTTTAATTTTTGTACATACATATATTTTTTTTCACACAAAACTTTGAATTATTGTTAATTTTTAATTAAAACTTGGATATTTATCACTTTTTTTTAATTTTTTGACAATTACTTAACATGATTTTATATTGAATTATTAAATTATAAGATAAATAACGGTTTTTAAAACTCACTTTTCAAATTAATGTATAAAGAAGTATATTTTGTAAAAAATTATTTATTTTCTCAATTTACTAATTAAAAAACATATGCTACTTATACATATATATATAAGTATTTCTATAATATACAACTTAAAAAATGTTAAATAATTAAGTATGCCTAGTATACTTATATTTTTTTTGTGATTATTTTATTTAAATTTTTTTTTTCTTTTTTGGCAACACTTTCAAATTATTTCTATTTGACAGTATGTACATGTATGTATGTACATATGTAAGCAAAATAAATTTTCAATTTTAAATATTTTTTTGCATGTTAATTATTTTTTGAATTTTCAGTTTCTATTTTTTTCATTTAAAAATGTTAAATAACAATAAAATATTAATAATAAATATGATAACATACGAGTATAATACTAATAATGCTATTAGTCATGTTATTTCAAAAAAAAAAAATTAATTATGTATTAAAAATATACAAACATGTATACTTAAATACACTATCAAAGAAGAAAGAATGGCATACGGATTGATTTCGATTCAAAACCCGAACGCATACGAAAACTATTTTTAAAAAAAATAAACATTTCTTTTAAAAATAACAAGTTCAGCTGTTATGTTATAGTTTTTTTTTTCGAATTATTTCGTAATATCTGTATGAAGTATAATTACATATACATATGTACGTATATCAGTTAAAAATTGAAGTGTTAAAGTTAAATTTTAAAAATTTCAATTTTGAAAAAGGAAATTGGTATTTAACTAGGTATATACAAAATTCTAAGTTGCTCTAAATAATCAATTAAATTTATTTAATTAAAAATTTAATTAAAAGAAATTAAATAATCAATTAAATCAATTAAAGTTATTATTATTACTATATCATACATATATTTAAATATGTGCATATATCTACGTAAAAACAGAATAAATTTATAATTATTATTTCTAAATTTCTCACTATCAAATTTCTTAATTTTATAATTAATTATTATAATTAAATTTAAATACTTAGTAATTTAAATTTCTTAAATATTGCATACATCCATATACATACATATATAGTTATAATTTGAATTCTTAAATATTTTTAATATTGGTATTAGATCTACATAACTATACATATGTATAAGTATGTATATTTTACGAGAAAATCCTTGCGGTTTATAACAAAGTAGGTACTTGTTAAATGGGCACATAAATTTTCAAAATTTTATTTATATACTTATGCATATACTAGGTATGTATGTATGTGTGTATATCAATCATGCTTAAAATTAATTATATAATAAAATATTTTATATAAATATAAATAATTATTCACTTAGGTATAAAAATTAAAAAAATACTTTTTCGATTCTTTTAATAGAATTTCATTTCATTTTTATTTTAAAGTATCTTGCTATTATTACGAGTATATTAATTTATTTGAAAAGATAATTTTTGAAAGTTTATTAAACTGATAACATTGTTATAATTAATATTTAACATAAAAAACACATATGTATGTACATAAATAAATATGTATGTCCGTATGTTATAACAAAAATTATAAGTATACATATACGAGTATATATGGGTATGTGCTCTTGAGTACGTATGTACATATGTTTGTATATTAAGTAAAAACGAAAGTTCTTATCTGCATTCTTATTATTTTTTCACTTTTAGTTTTAGAATTGAAATAATTTAATTTTAATATTTTCTTTTTCAATATTTTTGTCTTTTAATATAAACAATTTTTATTTAAATAATATTCGAAAATAAAAATTATTTTTTTTTAATGAAATCTTCTAGTTTTTTTTTTTTTTTGAAAATGATTAAATATAAAAGTTTGCATATCATTATATACACATTTCATTTGATATATGTACTGTTTTTTTGTAAAAATTTTTAAAATGAATACTTTAAATTTAAAATATCGCACAGAAAATAACAAAAAAAAAAACAAACGTATCTCTCCCGTCCGTATTCAATCTGAATTCAGATATGAATAACAAGATTTATTATTTTAATTGTACTAGACTACTAGAGCATGGAAGAGAATGAAAAGAAGTGTTCTTTTTTTACACACTAATATCTCTCCTTCTCTTTTTCTCTCGCTCTTTTCATTTTTCACTCATACATTTATATATGCACTGTACTGTTACGATATACAATAAACCTGTAAAGATCACATGTGATTTTGATTTTAGGTACAAGTATAATATTGCTATACCTAATCAATAGTGAATCGCCGATCAAATCGCATATTGCATAAACATGGATTACATTCATGTATTTGTACGTGCATCCTACTACAAGTAAAAGTGTATAAGATACATATATTATTCAATTTCTATATCAAAATTATCAGTTCGTATATAATATGAATCTGCATATACACACATATACATATATATATACAGTACATTCTGCAAATGTGTGAGTTTAAACTCAAGGAATTTCATTCAAGTGAGTACATTAATTGAATTTGTTTATGAATATTTTTTGTTTCATGAAGTACTCGTATTGATCATTTCTTGAGAATGTAGTATTTGCACTCTTGTACATTTTATAATATGTAAACCCATTTTAAATTTAATTTATTTTTTTTAAAAAATAAATTAATCTTTATTTGTGAAATATTATAAGTGTTCTATAAAGAAATTAATATTTAACTTTTTAAAAATATTATATGCTACATAAATTAGTTCAATAAATAAAAATTTATTTATATACACTTCGTTTTCTTTTTATGCGGTTTTAGAGCTTTGCGGTACAAGAAAAAAAAATTTATTTGAATTTCGAAAATTTAATTTTTTTGGTGATTAACTTTTTCTGAAAACGAATAAGAATACTCCACTGGATGAAAAATTACTTCGAAAAGACCTTCAACTTTCATTGGTAAATTGGAAATTTTTTTTAAAATTCCAACATAATCTGAAATTTTGTATGTCTGGCTACAGAGAACTCTACAAAGAACTAGTTAAGCCATCACAGCTTGACTGACTGACCTTGTCATAGAAAAAAAAAATCACTATCTTAAGATGATGAAAGTGATCTTGCATCCGATCCACAAACGGGTTCGCACATTATAAGACAGCGAATAATGATGAAAACATTCTTAATATGATTTACATTTACGTATGTAATTCTGTAAGACAAATATTATTTTATAAATATTTATAATATACGGTAACACAGTTTTAATATATTACCATCTGACGATCTTCGATATCAACAACTCTCCATACACGAAAAATATATTTTTATAAAATGCTCTTATGATGAATGATAGTAGGTGGTATTTATTTGTATATGTAAGTACGAGTATATCTGCAATACAAATGTATTGCTTGCTTGTTGCTCATATACATACGCGACTATATAATTATCAAGTATATTGTCTTTTGAAATACACATGTTACATTTTCATATTTTGTTATTTGATTGCGATCATAAATCTGTGTGAGAAGTTCGCAAATTCGAAAGGATTTAAAATAAAATTTAAAAAATAATTAAACTTATTACAAAACACAAAAATTCAAATCTTCTGCATTAAGGTATAAACATATATTCGTAATATGAAATAAAAAAGAAAGACTAGACACAAACATATGTGCATATTTTATAATGTACAGTAAATGCACTTTTGGTAATTTTTAAGAGTTAATAAGTAAAGTGAATAGGCCTTAACAAATAACAAATTCGACATTCTAATTCAAAATGTTGATTTATTCATAAGAATTCTTTGCTAAAAATGTTCAATGATCAAAAACTAATAATTGTAAAAAAACACTTATTTAAAATTTTAAATAGGTACAGAGTATGTACTTATGGCAACAAATTACAAACATATGTTTAGATATTTTATGACGCTGGGGGGAGGAGGGGAATAATATTTCTGAAAATGAATTCTTTCGAAGATAAATTATATAGAAAAAATGTTTATGAAAATGTGTATATTATCTGAAATAGATCCTGACAGATTTAAATTTCTATTCGAAACCAAAACTTACTCATAAGAGATAAAATATTTTAATACTTACCTATTTTGAAAAAGACAAATTTTTATGAATCTTCTTGAATCGAATGTAGATCCTCATTTCTTCTCGATTTGATCATTAATTTGAAACGAGAATTTTCTTAAATATTAATTTATTCTACTCACTAATACATCTAAACTTAATTTATATTGGCGAGATACTTTTTTATCCATCTTCTCTTCAAAAGAGATGTTTATGTATATAGTAATTAGTAAATAAGAATAATAAATAAAACAGAGTATGGTTTTTTAAATTTTCCATTCGTTTTCCAGTTTCTACAATGGAAGTAAAATTTTCCGTTGCCGTTTTTTGAAAAAAATTTTATGAATGAATTTTTATGTATACACATAAAACCGGCTTTTTTAGGCGGTTTACTATATTTACATATACAATCTCATTGTTTTTTTTATTCTTGAATACGAGTATATTTGACTAATTTTTTTCTTATTTTGTTATACTTTGATAGCGATAGTAATTTTCTTCAGTGCATAGCATATTCGTATATATGTATGTAATGTTGGTACATAATACACATTTTATACATTGAAAATATGCAAACATAGGTCAGGATAGCATTTCCCAATATTTTTTAAAACATTATAATTATTTTTATGACCCAGAATTTTAAATTATTTATATTTATAAACACAATGTTTACATACATTATTATAAACAATTTATACGTAATATCTTTAATATTTTTGTTCACTAACTCCGCTTGGGAGCATTTGGACCTTCTACTTGGCTTTAGAGTCAAGTCTCAGTTTTACAGGTCATTAACTTAGCTAGAGCGTGATCAGCCTACCATAGTTTTTTCTTATATTAAATATTCGTTCTGTCAGCCTGTGTACCTCGTATACCTCAATTTAAAAGCAATTTTAATGAAAATTTGTATTTGCGTTTACTTTGCCTATGTTACGGATTAATCAAATTTCGGGATAATGACAGGTATGAGAAATCGAAGAAAATATTCAAAAGATTACCTTGAAATTTTATATTGAAGGTTCGTCTTATTTAAGCGCGAAATTACTTATCTTATATGTAAGTCCGAAGGTGACTTTTGTTTCTCAGGTGGTATTTTAAGAAAGATGTCACCAACTTGATTTTTACTACGGACCAAAATTACATTTTTACGCATATAAAGAAAAAAAAACGTTCAAGATCGTTCAAGTTTTAAATTTAAATTTCGGGATTCCGAAATATGAATTTTGTTCTAAGTAGAGTTTCATTTTATGCCGTCCGAATTATACGAAAACTTCGTCAGTAACGTCTGGTAACAACCAGAGCTGAAATATTAAATTTCAAGAAATTCCATCAATTCGTTCCGTAGATATGGTAAAAAATGTAAAATCGGCCCCAAAATCAGTTTCCGAGCCCTGATCTTTCCAAAAAATTTATAGATTCATTGTTTTAGCGTCTCGAATTTAAATATTAAATTTCAATGAAATCGGTTGATTATTTCTCTTTATATACGCAACAAATTTAATCATCCAAAAGTAAGAAGGTTTTGCGGACGGACGTATGATATAATTTCAAGTAAATCTGTTGAATGTTTTCTTTAAAATGATCAAAAATATAGAACAGGCCCGCTAAAAAGTCCAGTTCCCGAGGTCTGCTATATATAAAAAGTTGATCCTTCCGTGTCATAGTCGAAATAAACTTATATATAATTTCATTAAAATCGGTTCAGCCGAACTTGAGATACACGCGTGTACACGCAGACTGACAGACCGACAGGTTGCTAAAAATAGTTTATTTACACTTCCCTACCATGAAGAAGTGCGTTTCCACCGGAAAGTCGATATGCGAAATTTGTTGCCTTCTACCTTATTATACAGGGTGATTCAGAAAGGTATACAACACTATATCAACTCAACAAACTCTGATAGTTTTCCGAGCTCCAGGGATTATAACGAATTTTCACGAAATTTTTACTTACCCAAGTTTTTTGAATTACAACTTCCATTCTGAAAAAGATAGGAACTTCGAACAAAGTGTTTCTGAAAGGCCTAGTAAAGGGTTTAAAATATTTGTCTGCATTTTATCTACCTTCGGAATACCAAGCATTCGAACTTTAGGGAAAATCGAATTCTTCCCCTGTTTTATTTTTCCAGTTCTTTCTAACTAGATAATTTTGTAAGAAATTCTTCGTAACCTTGGAATTTTTTTTTTAGAATTTTACCCAACTGCTTAAGCTTTAATTTAAGCCTAGAACTAATATAGAACAAAACCATTTCTGTGTCAAGATTTTAATCTGTCACGTCAGAAATTATAATTTTAATATTTGGTTGTTATACCTACTTAAGTATTTTCATATATATTTCGTATTTTTCAGTAAATTTTTTTTAAAAACTGAAAAATAAAATTTCCCATCGAAAAAACCATGAAAAGTAGAAAAAGTAGAATTTAAAAAGCTGAAAAGTAGAAAGATATTTAGTTCACGCTTTTTTGCATGAATTTCTAAGTCTATAAAATAACTTTTGAAATAAAAATATTGAAATTGCTTTTATTTAAATTTTTTTTTAATTTTTTTACGTTTTGTTTTTATTGTTTTCATGTTTATATTGTGCCAAAAAAAGTCCCTTTATAATTTTCTGTTTCACGTAGCGACATCTAACCAAAAAATGTTTCAATTCAGCATCTCTTACTTATTTCTGATATAATGTATACGTTTTTTTGTATGAATTTCGATCAATTGGTATACACTTCTTCAAAATCAATGTAAATTCAGCGTATTAAATGCGTTAAGTTGTAGAAGTGTATACAAACCGTGTATTTTAGTCATTCATTATTATTTTGAAACTTTATAATCGTGAGTAAAAAGAACCCTTTTACAAAATAAATAAAAAATAAAAGTTTCCTACAAACAGGCAGATGTCGCTGTAGTTAAGTCTTTTTTTCAATTCATTGAATGTTGGTAGCCGTGAATAATATATTTGACATGAATGACAGTTTGCTCAATTTTAGTTTGACAATCTATCTTAAATACTTGATTGCAAGGTATCTTATATTGAATTAATAAATTAATTCTGTAATTCATAACAATTTCATTTAGAAAGGTAATTTAATAACTTTCCTAGTAGAATGTACAAACGCGAGTAGTTAAAAATTGGTTCTCTTAACCAATGAACTCAGTAATAAAATTACTTTTATTAAAGTTACATAACTTTTAATAGGTTATGACACCGAAAATCTGATATAAAATTAAGGAAATTGTGTTATATGCAGCAGGAAAAAATTAATTATATTTACTATTTAATTTTAGATGCTTTCCCAATCAGTTTTAAGTGGTATTCGTGTACTTCGTAAAGAAGCTCAACGCAATTTTGGAATAGTTGCTCCAGTATTGAATAAAGTTCAAGATCCTATTCAACAGCTCTTTCTTGAAAAACTTCGGGAATATAAGTCAAAGAGCGCGTAAGTAATTTAAAGAGAAATTAAAATAAGATTTCCAAAATTTTAATGACCATAAAGATATCTTTTGCGCAATCATATTATTAAAGTTCTAAGTATATAATATGGGTATAGTACAAGTTTTTAAATAAGGAATTTAAACAATATCGGATATTCATAGTTCAGCATTAATTAGAAAAACTAAGTCTTAACATTTTTGCCGTTCGCAAGAGTCCACCTGAATAAAGTAATTCTTTAAAGCAAATTTAAAATACCGTTTTGTTTACCTTAAAGTACAAAAACATCTATCTTTATGGTAGAACTTTAAAATATAAATACATATTTGTAAAATACCTACATATATATACGAATTATAAACATATGTTTTGTTTCTGTTATACATACATATATATGTATGTACATATTATATAAACTTTTTTTTAGGCTTGAATCAAATTAAAAAGTGGAAATTCATTAACTGATCCTTGTCAAATTTCATTTACAAACTTTTTCAAAATCCATGCAAAGGAAAATGGGTCGAATTCAAAAACAATTCTGTTATTCCGTGCCTGGTAATGTGTATATTAGCAACAAAGATTACTGTCAGTCTTGTGTATAAAACATAAATAAGACTCAGCAAACTTTAAATTATCGAAAAATAAATCAATTTTTGTGCAATTGCATATATGTATACGTTTGTATTCATGAAATGAATTTATATTTAAATTACTCATATACTTTCACAAACTGGAGCTGAATCTATGCTATCTTGCCCAATACTAAATAAATATATGTTGTAAAAGAATCAATTTAAATATCCCATATTTAAATATATTTTTGAACATAATGTTTTGAATTAGGTTTTCTCATACTTGTTTACTTTACAAAAAAACTGATACCAATATTATAAATAACGAAATAAGATAATTTACCATACTTTATTTCAGTGGTGGCAAATTAGTTGATGCATCACCCCAAATTGAAAAAGAATTAAAAACCGAATTAGAAAGAGTAGCCAAACAATACGGTGGTGGACAAGGTGTTGATATGACAAAATTCCCAGAATTTAAATTCGATGATGTTAAACTTGATCCAATCAGCCAAGCTGCAGAAAAATAATTTAGTTATCAAATTTAAAAAGAAAATTTAATATGTATAAACCAATTTGTTCCAAGATTCTTGTAATTGTATTTTAATTTCTTCTTACAAAATTCTAACAAAAAATAGACTCAATGGGTCTTTTTGAAGAAATTGCAAAAATAAAACGAAAATTGTTTAGTTATTAAATACAAAAATGTAGTTTCATTTCAAAATGTTTAAATATTAAAAAACTTTACATTTTAAAATAATAGAAATTTTCTTATACGGAAAAAAACTTATTTAACAATTGTCATATTACATCTTAGAAAATTGGTTACAATTTCTTTTAATAAATGCATTTGGTGATAATTAGCAACTTTTTCAAATGTGTGGAATAATGAACACATATCCTTGTTTGAGATAAGCGTTTCAAATTTTCCAGCGCACGAACATACATCAGCCATATTTTCTCGTTTAATTTGTTTACATCTAACGCAACGTAAATCTTGTAGTGTATATGACATTATTTTTCGTTGGAATACATCTATAATTCTCATTTCAATTTCTTCATTGTCATAGCAAACAAAACATTGGGCACATAGCCAAACAGGTCTAAAATAGAAAAAAAAAGTTATTGTATACGCAAATAAAATAAATACGTAAGTATTGTATTAGATGTAAGTATGTAGTATTTATGTAGTAAATATCGTTATAAGAATATAAAAAATTTATTATTTAATACTATAATTAAAATACATACACACATTAACATTTATTTTAAAATTTATGCATATTCGTACAAATTTTGTTGAAGAATGGCTGCAAAAGGAAAGTTTTTCGCAAAAAATTGCAAAAGCAAAAAAAAACTTTAGAATTTCATGCAAAAAAGTTTTTTTGATAATCTTTTAACAATTTTTTAAATCATTTTTTCTTGCATTTTGCAGCATTCAACAAAACCCTTCCCACTATATGGTGCGAAACAATCAGATCATTCGTTAAAAAAAATTTGTAAAACTTTTCGAGGCTTTAACAGTAAATTAAGTTAAGTCATAAATCTACAACAGTAAACAGCAATGCCTCAAGAATTTCTGAAATAGCCATTTAATCATGAATATCATGAGATTTAATAAATCTCAGAAATATCGTCTTTAGAGATACATGTCTTTGAAAATATTTCGTATCAAATGCTCTAATAGCTTTTCAAAATTCGCTTTTTCAACAAACAATAGCCCACCCGCTTCTCTTGGCGCTTCACAGGATATTTTTTCAAAAAATATAAATTACCGAAAATGTTTTAATTAACCATGTTTATTCAAAAATAATATACATTACGTATGTATGTATGTATTTAACAAAATATTTTCGATCTAGTCTTGGTTTTCTAATTCATAAATTTGTAAACAAAATTCCTATTAAGCAAATGCAAATTAGTTTAAAAAACATTTTTAATCAGCAATTATAAAAAAGAAATAGAAAGAATTAAAAAATATTTCGAGGCAATAAAACAAAAAATTTATTCTAAAATAAATAAAAATACTAAAAACTGTTAAACTTTAGAATGAAAATTCTTAAAAAACCTGGTTAATTCAAAATAGTTTACTTTTATTTTTTTCAGGCTTTTTTTTAAACTAATATAAAAGCTTTCTGTTGAATAATAAAACTATTTCAAATTTATTGAAAAATTTCGTTCAAGTTGAGAAAACTAAAAAAATATAAAGTACATACATACATATATATAATTTTTGAAAAGGAGTTATTTTTAAACGAATATTTAAAAGTTAAAAGACTAAAATTATTTATTTCTTATAATTTTTTTAAACAAAATTGTATATGATGACAAGAAAAATGATTTTAAAAAAGAAATTTTAATAATCACAAAAATGCTAACAAGATTATGCTAACAAGAAAAAGAAGAAACAAAAAACATTCTTTCAGAAATCAACAACTGACAATGAAAACAAGTGCAATTTTGTAGTCAGACATTAATTGGCTTATTTGAATGCTTTCTTGCCTGAATCAAGATTATTTCAATTTTCAGAATAAAAATACTCTATTCGATTAAGTATTAAGTTATTTAAGTAAATTTAACTAAGAAAAACTTAAATATCTATTCATTAAATTGATATAACAAACTTTTATTCAGATTTTCCTCTTATAAAAGTAAAATTATAATTAATATTATATAATGTGGATTAGGGAAACATAAAAATTTTTAATTAATCAAGTATTTGCATAAAAAAAAAACATTTTTAACATAAAATTAAGGAAGATAATTGGCTCGATTTAATATTTTTCAATAAGTTTTTTTGGAGAAAATGTTTTATGTATGGAAGATACAATCATGAAATAATTTTCTAATCTATCAAAAAAGATATAAATTAAAATAATTTATTTAAATTTCAACCTTCTTAAAGATATAAAAAAATTTTACTTGTCATTATTTGTGTGCCTGCGTCGGTTTAGAAACGACACACAACTCCCTAGTATTACCACAAAATTACTTATAGTCTAAAAATCTAATGTTTATAAAATTCTACCCACAAGTTTTATTGCTCCTATTTATATCGCTCTTTTAAAAAGTTTTATAAGCATGTCGCTTAATTTATTACATTTTTGTTGTTTTTCTCTTTCGCTTCTGATGTATTTAGTATTTTCTTTTGATAAAATTACATAATTAAATAACTTACAAACAGAATTTTTTGTATAAGATCTTACAATTCTAGTTTTTCATTATAAACAAAAAAGAAACTCGAGTAAGTATATTTATACATAACGTTAGCTAAAGTATATTATATAATAATATGTAGGTATATATTCATATTAATGGAAAAAAAATATTTACTAGTTCAGTGACACATTAACTCTGCATACCTGGAAGCAAACTACAATGATTAAAAAAAATAAAAAGAAGAATAAAAATTAAAAAGTTGATTCAATGTATTTACTTGAATCGCCTACAAATAGAATGAACCAGTCATCAAAAATGGCATAATCAATTCACACATGTTTAATGTATGTAATTTTAGTTATTCCATAGGTTACTCGAAATTTATTTATAATAATCAGCGGCGATTTATGATTTTAACATTTCATTAATTTCAATAAAATTGACATCGATTAACCAAAGCAATGATCTAAGAAAGATATGGGCTTCCAACAAAGTTTTTTGAAAGGCTGAAAATTCTTAGTGCGATTTGTGATTCATAAATTTTAATTTGTTTTTTGTGTCTGTCTTTCTCTAGAATATTTTCATTTACTACACTTAAATATTTTGAATTGATTTTGGAGCTTTTCTATAGTAGAGATTTTTCCAAAAAAATCTTTACTTATCGCTTATTTTGAATTTAGAAATTAAAAATTTCTATTTAAATTTCAAATTAGCACATTTGAATATATTTCCATAAAAATGGTAAAACGTGATGTTCGTTTTTTAAATTTCCACGAGTACGTTGAATTAAGATACTATTCCGTAATTTATTCGTTACTAGAATAAGTTTAACAGTGATTCGAAAATAATTTGAAACAAAATTAAACAAAAGTTTTTGTGATAATCCAGAAATACGAGTATTAAATCCGCCGCTGATATAATAAAATATTTGAATAAATGTTTATTTTGGAGGCTATTTAATAATTACATACATGTCGCTTTATTAAAGCATGTTTTATAAACATTATATATTGCACATACATTATTACACAATTTCCACTCATATATACATATCATATATATATATATCTATGATAATATTAATAAAGTGATCGATGAAATTATTTTTCTAGTAAATCGTAAAACAGAATTAAAAATTGCATGCTTAAGTATAAGTTGACGTAATACTTTTGTACTTGTATAAATGTCATGGACTAATTTAATATTAAATAAAATTTACTTACTTTATAATTATTATTTTACAATTGTTAATTAATATAAAAATATTTCAAAAATATACTTACACTTTATCTTTCATTGCTCTATGTTTATCTTTACATAAATCTAAATCTCTACAATGATTGCAAGCTTTGCATATCACTTCGTTTAAAACATATGTATCACATGGATCTTTCCAATCGCCAATATCACTAAATTCTCCAACGCCAACAAGTCGTAACATATTTCGTCTTAATTCATTAACTGGCTCTTCAATTGTCTTATCAATTGCTAATATTTTACTTAATAAACGTGCTAATTCTAATCCAGGGCTTTCTTTACCTTTTGCATAATTTTTATGTAATTTTTGTATAAAATCATAAGCATAATGTGATATATCTTTAATTGCTTCTTTTGAATCGTGTTTTAGAGCTAGCGACTGCATATACAATGTTATTAATTTTTCAAATTTTTCTTGACATTCATTTTCATCTGGTAAATATTCAGCCAACGTCCAATTTATTTCTAAATTAATACGTTCTTGTTCGATTAAATCATCATCATCTTCGTCATCAATATCAACATTAGCTTCCGTATTATTAACATAATTTATATTATTGTTTATATTCATTTCACGTGGTAATTTACCTTTTACACCAGAATAATTTGATGTATCCAGCCATAATAAAAACTCCCAACACTGTTCATATGATAAGTGTATACTATGAAAAATTTCTTTATTTCTTAAACTCTGTACAATATAATCTACATAACCCAATGCATCTGTTACAGATCTTTTACCCGAATCTATTATAATTTTATTAAAATCAGCATAAATTATTGTTGCTTTTAAACGTTGAAATTCAGCAACGATTTGTAGAAACATTTTTCTCATTAAATTATTTAATGACCTTCTCAAAGCTGGATCATATAAACGTGCATTACTTGAACGTACCCAACGATAAAAATGTACAATTTGAAAATCGGAAAATACATTACGATTTATTGATACTTCACGTAACCAACCATTTACCATGTAACGCATTATACGAAATGATGCACTACATAATGCTGTTTCATCATAACTAGGTAGTGTTGCTGTTGGTACAGTACCAATCATTTCTTCTAAAGATGCTTGTGGTATTACGTCAAATGTAACTGCAGCATTTGCCCCTATTAAATTAGAGAATGTAAAACAATGGAAAAAATAGAAATAATTAAATAAAGTAATACACACTTAAAATTTATACTTATGCCAAAGCTGGAAAATTAGTTTACATATGTGTAATGAAGGAAAGCATAGAAATTTAATTCTCCTTTAGAAAATTTTTATTACATGATAATTCTATATTCTCTACGTATCATAGAAAATATGAAATGGAAAAAAAAATTTATAACATCATTCAAGTGACTATACTTGATATAGAATAGTTTAACATATATAGATAATCTAGATATACCGGTTTTAAAAATTTAATAGCAAAAATAAATTTATGTATATATAATACAATATCATTGAAATTGTGTATGTATGCCGTGTACCAACAATGTACAACAACCCACATTCATTTGGAATTCATTTCCATAAGACAAGTGACTCGACTTTTTATTTTGTAAATTCAAAAATTATAAAACGGAAATATTTTTTCTTATTTTGTTTTATTTTTAACTGCTTTTTTCAAATTCTATATGTTTTATTCAGCTTCACTGCAGTAAGAGATCAATAAAGTTCCATTGTATTTCAAAAAAGAATAAAAACAAAAGCAATTTTTTTGTAAGAAACATTATTTACGAATGATGTATGAATTATCGGGAACTAATTAACGCACATAATATGGAATTTAGAACAAAATTATAGGGTGAAAAAAAGTTTTGAGTGCGCCATAATCTATAGAATCTGCAGGATATTATATAATAGCTAGCACATTTTGCAAAACGTTATACTTTATGTTCATATATACATATATGTACATATTTAAAAGATAAAAAATTATTTTCATCAAATTTTATTATAATTAAAAAACGAGATCTATCTTTATTTTTAGTTTAAGATAACCTCTTAATCAATAATTTTTAAGAAGAAAAATTTTTTTTTGATTAAGAACACTATATGATTTATAAATTTTTACCTTAAGCCATGTGGCTTAAATAGCGTGTTTACCATAGAATACAAGCGCATTATAACAATATATTAAGCTAAATTGCGTTTAAATTTACATCTTTATTTCTTCTTTCTTTGAATTGTTAACTATCCTTACTACTTAATTTTTCAAAAATTAATTCTTAAATATGTATGTATATGTGTTTTTGAATTATTAATGATAAAATGTGGTATGTAAGTTTTTAAAATATACAATATCAATAATTTATTAATTATGAACTGGTCAAATTTATATTTATGTAAATTTTATTTGTCTTTTTAATATTTGACAGAATTAAAATGCAAATGTGAAAAGAAAGAACAAGAATCAAATTTAAATGTTAGGGCAATAACGCTAATATAAATATCAGTATTTTTTACAATTTGAATTTTGATTAAACTAGTAAATTATTGTTTCCTTTTATAGGTACTCGTATTACGTAATAAATTGTAATTAAAAAATTTTTTGTAACATTGCATTTAACACGAAAATTTCATGATTAACGACGTGAAAACTATAATTTAAAACAATTTAAATTAATAAATAAAACCTTTTCAAAACAAAATCCCAATAATTTAACACCATCAAATAGTCCTGTAATTACATGAAAAAAATAAGAATAAAATACTACATGTATTTTTGCTAATCACAAATTTTACACAGCATCTTATTCATAATAAATTATTTCAAATGCATTAAATGGTGTGTTGTTAAAAAAACTATATCGTAAATTTTTTGCAATGTTATAAGAGTTATTAGAATATTATATTATATTGCAATATTATTTGTCCCGATACAGTGCGCATATGAAATGACCTAGTATACTAATACAAAATAATTGCAAGCAACAACTTTTTTTCGCATAAGACATAATGTTATTTAATCACATTAAAAAATAGTTTTTTCTCCAAAAATATTTTCTGAATGAATTGAAGAAACTACCAATTTAAGTAATGGGATTGAAATTTCTTTTATCAGGTTGTTTTATAATTCAAAAAATAAATAAATCAGAATAATACATTATGATTTTAACATTGTCATTGAGCATTTCTATTACCCTATATGAAAGTAAAAAAGAAAAACCTTTTAACATTCTAATATTGAATACAAATTAAAAACTATTCTTTAGACACAAAACTTTTTCATATTATACAATTTTAATTCACTTCAAATTAAATCGATTTAGGGTAAGAAAAACATCTGGCGTACAAATTTCCATACTTTAAAACAAAAAAAACGAGAAGTAGACCATAATTTTATTCTTTATAATGTATGTAGACAACATGTGCATATATGTATGTATAAAATATAATGTGTACAAAATAAATTTATATTTCATAAAATATTTAATATATAAGTATATGTGGGTATACATGACTTATTTGAATATTTTTTTAACAAATTTTTAGCAATTCCATTTGAAAAAAAAAAACAACAGCATATTAAAAAATAAACCAGTAAAATTACTTTTTATTTTTACTTTAAATAATTTATCCAAAAAAAATCAAATACCTATCCAAATTGATTTTAATGTGAATATTTAGGTATATAATATACTCGTAGCACATTTTATGTGCATATTCACAGTATATAATGTATATACCACTAAAATATATAATTATACGTACATATGTATATATAAAAAAAACTCTACACACCACCTACTATAAAAACCTCTTTTTTAATTTTGTGAACACTACATACATTTTTCGTTGTTTACGTCTTCTACGTTTTCTGCTTCTTCTACGAAAATGAAAACAATAAAAAGTTTCAGCAACTTTCAACAAAATACAGTCGAATTGAAAAAGTTTTTAAGAAAAATATTGAATTTATTAAAATTTTAGTTACCAATAGTTGGATAGCTTCAAAAAACGAAATATGTATATTTTTTTACTTATCTAATTTAGTAATTGTCAAGAAAATGAAATGCACTTTTATACAAAAGCTTCACGTGCTATATTATGTAATTATTATTACTTCACTTTAACCATCCAAAAGCTTATAATAATAAAAACTAAAAAAAATGTTTTCAACGTTTACTAAGACTTTTTCTCGAACATGGGAAAAAAAGCCGCACATTAAGTTTTATTATAGAACGTAGAATTTCATAAAAATGAAATCTTATTTTGAAATAAAATCCCAAAATATTATTACCGCTTGGTTACAACAAATAATAGCAAAATAACCAAATAAAATTTTAATTAGTGCTTAAACATAAAAAAAAAACTAGAAAACTATACCCACAAAACTTTTTAAAAATTTAATCAACGAAAACAAAACTTTTAATGAAATATGATAACCTTTTCTCAATCTTTGATTAATTTAAATAATTTCTAAAACATATATATGTAATAATATATGTAATATATGTATAGTATACACACGTAAACTTACATTTCCACTTTGCAAATTACAATAGTATACTCGTACTTTCTTTATCATTGATGTTCGCTTATTTTTATAAAACTAATATGAAAAAGTTTAGCAGGAGCTCATTTAATCAGTGTATTTCAACAATAACAAAAACAAAAATTGAAGTTGTACTGTATTTTTTTTTTTCAAAGAAACCATATTATGTTCCATGAATATTCTAAGTGATCTCAGTATGTATCTTTTGACTCTGAATGAAAAATTTTGAATTTGTTTCAAGTTTTTGTGTTTTTTATTTTCAATATTTTTGTGTTATATTATAATTTACTGTACATACAAACATGTTCAACTCAAATATCGTACTATATACATATATAGATTATGTGAGAAATATATAAATTCTATACAATTTTTGTTGGTTGACCTTCTACACATCTCTCTTCTGTCGAAAAAACGAAAATATATGAAAAAAAAAATGACTCAATCGTCTATTTTTAACCAGACTTTAAAGGTAAAATTAAAAATGTTGAGCTTTTCAATTTTAGTTTGTTCTGGTTGTAAATCGAGATCGCACACATCATATTAAATTAAAATAGGAATATCGTCAAAAGCGGCAAAAGCTGATCGCGACAAATAAAAAAAATTTATATTTCTTCTTTTCTCCTCAAAAGCGAAAATATTTACATATATAAAAATATATATTCGCATTACATACGTATATGTGATGATGAAAGGAGAATAGGCAAGATTGAGATATAGTCGGATAGAGAATGTTAAGAGAATAAGATCATAAAAATTATACAGCTATAAGAAAAAAAAACATCGAAAAAAATACAAAAAAGAAAAAATAAATTAAATGTTTAACAAAAACTAAAGGTAATAATAATTATGATTACCTTTGTAATAAGCTCTCTTTATAAAAAATTAATTTTAAATTAAATTAAATTATTTAAAAATGATATTTATTTTTAGTTCATATTCTCCACTGTTTGCTTATTTCTATAGCATGGATATATAAAAAGATATAAAATAAATTTTTTTACACAAGAAATACAGAAAACATAACTATATTATTTTATACATTATATACATATTCGAATGAATAAAATTACGAATATTTTTAAAATAGAAGAGAAAAAGAGAGAATCTCAACAAAAAAAAAGTAGAGAAAATAAGAAGTAAAGAAAAGTATAGTGTCTATTAAAAAAAAGTGCGACATCATAACAATCTAAACATACACAAGAAAAAACGAATATATATGTGGTACATATATATAAAAACATATTAACACATCTGCTTAATATTTATTTTAATAGATTAATATATAATATATTTAAAACTTAAAAAAATTACTCATTTTAAGATAAAATTCTTACTTGTGAAACAAAATAATCAAAGAACAAAAGAAGTCCCGCGACAAAAATAAAAATGTCTGCAACAAAAGAATATTCATCAAATGTTGTGAGAGTGTTACACCCAACAACCAATTCGAATTGGGATGAGCAGCAGGAACATTACGAGAGTAAATCGACTCGAAATATATTAGATTCATCTGATCAACAACTAACATCAACAAATTTTATAAGACAAGCCCAAACGAATTATAGTTCCCGAAGTAACTACAGCACGAAAAGTAATAGAGAATATGTAGATGATGACATACTCTTACAATCACCGTCAAATAGACCATCAAATCAACATAAAATTACATCAAAAAAAGTAATAAAAAATTATTCAACAACAACACCTGGTGCTAATATTGCAAGCAGCGGCGGTGGAAATGTTGATTATTTAGATGAATTACTTGATGATTTAAAAAATGAACGTGCCAATACTGATTTCAATGATTATACAACATCAACATCAACATATAAATATGGTGGTAGTTCATCAAATATTCCTGATACTGCAAACATAAATAAGAGAAATGAATATTATGACACAAGATTACATCATCGTGGTATAAGTTCAGGTAATTTAATTGAACATAATCCGCATACTGGAGCAACAATTAAAAGAACTGAACATATTGAAGTTTTGCCCCAAGGTGGTTCAACAATACAACGTTCAAAACATGTTGAAGTCTTAAATTCTAAAAGTCTTGAAACAGTACCATTGTTACCACACACCAGTGAAAAAACTTCAACTATTAAGCGTGATGTTACCATACAAAATTTAAATAATTCAGACGAATTACCGTTAGATGGTAGCATAGCTGAAGATCTATTACCATTACCTGGTACAAAAGTAACAACCACTGTACGTACATATACATATGAAGTGCCATCTGTTGTAACAAGGACAAATGTTTTATATCATGATGATACACGTACAATTCCACAATCATCGACAAGTCCGCAACCATCAACAATAATAAACAAAAATTATTCGGAGAAAACAACAAAAATACATGACAATTATTCAACAACAACTGATACACGTATACTTAGCGGGAATTTACCATCATCGCCTAATGATACAATACCAGTTAATGCAACATTACCACATGTTCATGATGGACCAGATTCACCCGGTCATCCAGGACCAAAACGGACGTATTATTATAAACACGAAGTTCATAATACTAAAAACACGGTAAATCAACCACCCCCACCTCAACCTTATATTAATGAATATCATATCACAAAGAATACAACCAATACAACAACCACAAATAGATACCAACCAAATGATGATTCACCAACAAGTTTAAGGCCAATATCGCCGGAGTCTATATCGCCAATTCCACAACCACCGGTAACACACCACACTTACATTACAAAAACAACGACAACGAATGATTACATTGACGGACCACCACGTGATTTAAGCCCATATGATGGACCAAATAGACCGCATTATGGACCAGATACTTCTCGACCACATCCACCTGGATGGGGTCCCGTAAGTGGTGGTGGCCATCCACCAGTGACTCAAACCTATATTAGAACTCACGAGAAAACAACAAGTTCAACGATGCCATTCCCAATAAACGAATCACCTAATTATCCATCATCACCAAATGGTGGGGTAGCTCAACCACCAAAAAACGTCAATGAATTGATGGCATCGCTTGATAGAAATCCAAATGATACTGATTCAGATGAATTAAGGAGAAAACGCGAAATTGACACATCAGTTGCTAACACAGATAATAAAGTTCGAGTACCATCAAAAAATCAGGCTGGCCCGCCAGTATTTTATCCACCAAATTCTGAAATGACATTGCGGCAAAAAGAAGGTGGAGGTGCATGGAGAGCTCAAGGTGGTTACGCTGCTGGTGCATCTGGATATGAATATCAAGCTGAATCAAGCTCAAAAACGAAGAGTAAATCTGGTGCAGCTGTAGTACCTGTCTGTTTGCCATTATGTTGTGCTATGCCATGTGTACTTATGTAAAATATCAGAATTCTAACGAATTAAAACAATTTTTTTCTAATTTTAATATCTTTTTTTTACAAAGTGTTAAAATGGCTTCTTTTGTTTATACAAAAAAAATATTTCAAAAAAAAACGAAAGCATGTTTTATTTTTAGTGCAAAAAAAGTGGAATTTACATTAAGAACTACTATTGAACATTTTTTGAAAATCAAGAAAAAATTTAAAATTTACATTGCTATACGTTATTTTAATTAAAAATTGGAAAAATTAAGTAAACAAAAACAGAAATTTTTTCTTTGTTTTTTTTTCATTCTTTTCAATGAGTTCAGTTTTATTATTTAAACTTCAATAGGCAATCAAATAGAAAAAGAAAATAATTTGAAACATTTCATGATGTCATCAATATTAAGTATGATGTAAATACTACTTTAAAAAACGCGTTAAAAAATATTTTTAAAAAATATTTCGAAAGCATTTCTAAATCAAAATGTATGAAAAATATGTAAAAAAATATATGTATAATAAAATTTAAAAGATCAGAAATCAATAATTTAATAACCCGAAATTACGAGTGCTGTATATTAATAAATTTGCCAGAAATTTCTACAATATATGTATATGACAAAAATGTAACATTTTAACAAAATTTTAATTATTTTTGTACTATAAAAGTAATTTTAAAAAATTCATAAACTGCTTGTATATTGTAAAATATTAATGCACTTGTAGTTAAGGTGTTATAACGCCACCCACATGATGTATAGAATTACAATAACTTTGCTTTACGCGTCATTCTATATCAAATAAATATGTATAAAATTTTAGTGTTTTATAGTAAGTCAGTTTTTATTCACTGCAAAATGATATTAAAAAAAATTACATTTTAAACTAATTTTGACTAAAACTTTTATAACTCAAAAATATTTACCTACTTTTTGGTTTTTAGTTTAATTTTATTAAGAAAATTATTATGGAAATTATTTTAATCATTTTGTCCAAATTAAAAGAAAATTTTACTAAGAAACGAATGTAAAGCATTTTTTTATTATTATTGATCTATACCAAATTTCCAGCCGCTAATAGAAATACAAATTAATGTTTTCAATTTGAAGGAAGAATTTGTTAACGCAATTTCCAAGAGTATCAAAATAAATCAACAGAAATATCGTAAAAAATAAAATAAATACTTCAGCATTTAACAACATTTTTTATCATGTTTGATCTTGGACTTGAAAGCAAATAAAAACCATAATAATATTATCCTTAATCACCCAACATCAAGATTCTTTTACCTTGCGATAAAAGTTCTATTACTTATTTTTGAATTATTGTGAACTCTTAGACGAATGTATTAAATAAGTCTATTATCTCATACGATGATTTCATATTCTTTTTTATTCTTTACTCTTAATAATCTCCATGTTCAAAAGGAGCTTTAGTTTTTAGCAAACGTAATACAAAAAAGAAATTAAATCTATATTTAAAAATAGCAAGGATGATAGGGCAATTGCTCTCTACATAAGAATTTTAATATTATATTAATGGAAAGCTTACAAATTTCATTGTATGCTCACATATCAAATGAACACAAATATGAATACAAATAAAAACTAATTAAAGCTATATTACTATTTATGGAAGTAAATATCATAAAAGTCAATTAAATATTTAACAAAATTTTTAGTTAAGGATGACCACTATTCCTACTTTGGAGTTTTATATATGCTTTTTACTTAGAATAGCATTTTTGTGTATCATGATTCGGAAAAAGTATAGGAAAAAATTCTCAACTGTATTACATTTGATTTTTTTAAGTATTAAAAGAAACCTTGTCGTTGGGAATTATTAATAAAAACGAAAACATGCATGTGAGTATTTCATCTCATCTACTTTAAAGGGAATAAACATTATTTAATTGATTTTATTAATGTTTTTTAATTTTAACTTGAATCAAAAATCAATTATCATTCATTTACAAATTTCACGCGTAACAATATGTATGTACGTGGAACAAAAATTGTACGTTTAATATATCCGCTACATATAAACATCATAATCCTTGACGATATTTTTTTAATTAACAAACATTCCCATTATTTCCGTTGTCAAAAAACAAAACCCAAATTCTTCAAAAATATTCTTTTTTATTATTTTGCCAAAATTATATACTTTTTTTCAAATTTTCAAGTTTACCTCAATTATGAAACTGCACATACTCACATCTATCGTATATACATATAGACATACCGAAAGCAAAAACATCCACTCGGGAAAAAAAAAAATTTAACGATTCAAGGTGAGTATTTAATAAGATGTATTTACTTTTTAAAAGCACAAGGTTATATCGTTTTTAGGATGACATAAGACGCATAATATCCCTTCCAATCCGCATGACTGTACAGCTTGTACTACATTTCATACATTTTGGAGAACAAAAGTCATTGTACTGATCCAATGATTTTTAATTTTGAATATACCTACATAATACATGTTTAAATATGTATCTATAAGCAACCATGAAGCACGTGCCGCAAAATCTTGATATTTCATAAAAAGAATTACGTCACCCTTACAGTGCAGTTGAATGAATCAATAAGTTAAGTGATTTTAATTGAAAATTGAAAAGCGCAACCTTTGGATTTATGATTTCTATAAGAAGAACTTTACCTATAGGATTTGATTTGACTAAGTACAACAAATCATTTATACGAGTATTTTTTTTTTATAATTATTGAGTTTCATATTAAGCCTGTAACATTAAAAAAATACCGAAAACGTTTTAGTTTTAATTTTGATTCATTCACAAACCCCAAAAAAAGTTTTCCATATTACACACATAGACTAAATTCCATTTTGTATTTTTTTCTTTTGCTACGATTACTATATACATATGTAACTATTATGAGAAGCATGTTAATGCTTTATCAAAGCAATTTTATTCTAAATTAAGAAATAATATTTTCCTCACTTACCTTCTGTTTCATTGATTTTACTGGCTTGCAGCAATGCACTAACAGCCAAACTGTCTAAAGCTAGTTCAACACAAACATGAGAATAAAATCCAGGCTTGTTTTGTACAACTGAAATATTATCTTCAAACTCCGCCAACAATCTGCTATCATCTGCTTCTCGACCTCCTAAATCTGGTTTAGAGCTCTCAGACCACCAAAGAACAAAATTATTTTTTTGCAATAACCTAGCAAAAAATAAATCAGCTCCAAATAGTACTGTATCTACTGGCATATTTCCTACAGGTATGTGAAAATAGCGACATTGGTCTAACATCAAATCAACGACGTGATTTAAATTTAAGAAATGTCTTATCATTGCTCGACATCCCTGACGTTGCCAATCTAAACCGGATAGTAGAGCTGCATCATCTGATATATGGATCGGTGCTTGTGGAAAATCCAACAAAATAGGTAAGGAAGAATTTAATTTTGATAAACTAATTGCAGTTTGTAAACAAATTAATGTAGGACTTTTTTTTTCTTCTTTATATGTTGACAATCCTTTTTGAATATGTCTAAAAACTTGCTTAATATCAACTTCAATCATTATTTCAAACTGAAAATCATCTGGCGGTAATTTATCAGCTTGTTGTTGACTTTCACAGTTCTTCAGAACAGCCAAACGTTCTGATGTGTATAACGATTTCATATTAGGCATTTGATTAGCCCTTACAGTATCCAATGCTATTATTATTGCCTTCTTTGTTGGAGGAAAAAATATCCCCCAAATTTCTTTCTTTGCTGTTGGAATATTATGTTGATATATAAAAATTTTCTTCAAGACATCATTAGAATTTTGCAGATAACTTTGATATGACATGCTACGAAATTCCAATTGTTCAATTGAAAATGAATCTAATTCTTTTGGGGGCACATTAATTAATTTCAAAGCTTCCTCTCTTTGGACACTACATAAGCAACCTAGATCCATAAGTGCACGAAACTCCAATGTCATTTGGGTTTCATAAATTCCTTCTATATCCGGTGTAGCTAAATCAGCTAACATACCTAGTCTATTGTCTTGAAAAACCTTTTCTGGAACTGAATATCGATAAAGATAATGAACTGGTCTTGAACGTGGTAAAACGCGATTTACTTTTTTCCACATTCCTTCTTCAGCTGGAGCAGGTGAACGTTGATTAACAAAAAATATTCGGGGAATTATAAGCTTTATTTTATGAAGTTCATCCCCTATCATAGCCCAAGCGGTAAAGTGACCAATTTCATTGATTGGTACTATTTGCACTATTTGCCATACCTGCTCTAATAATGAACGTTTTGCTTTCTTTAAAAAACCACCTAATGTAGTTGACATTGTTTTCTTTAAGGGCAACGAGGAATTGCTGCAAGGGTCAATTTCTTTTCGTGATCGTTTATTAATTTGTTTAATCTTAAGTCTTTCCTCAAGTTGCCATTCCCATTTTTGTTTCATATATTTAACCCATTCTACTATTTCTAGTCTTGAATTTCCCATTAAAGGCGGGGGTCCCAAAGCTTCTCGCCAAGTCTTAGGTATATTAACAGATTCGTTGTCATTTGATACCAGGCGCTTTCTTTTATTAACACTTACGATTGGGATATTTGTGGAATTATTTTCTTTACCTCCTATATCTTCAATATCAGTAATGTCACTCACTAGGCCATTCTCTGTAATTGTCTCTACAATCTGCTTAGGCCGACTTGTGAAAAGCTCATTTATTCTTCTTTGTTTTAAAATATCGTTTTTCTCCAACATCTTTTTATGCAACCAATCAGGGTGTTGCACTCTAGGTACAGGATTATTTAAACCTTGTAATGCTGCTGGAATTGTAATAATCTTCTGAACCGTACCACCCAGACGCTCAATATAATAATTCCAATCTAAAACATCCCGTATATCTGCATCACCCATAGTATTATCTTTCAACCACTTTCTTAAATAATGTCTTCGTACCGACAATTCCGATTGAAAAATTGCCAATGGTATAGCTCGTTCAGTTACTGGAGCACCTTCTGGCTTTTTAGCGATTACATATTTGCATGCTAACCCAGCATCTTTAACCATTTGATCACCTAAAAATTCTGCTAAACGTTTAGCGGTTGATATTGATGTAGATTTTTGTGCACCGTAGTCTTCCAATTTTCGAGACATAGAACGATTTTCTGAAATAAGTTCAAACAACTCACTATCAGGTAAATTTATTCCGCGACTATAAAGAACGTCCAACCAATAATCTGCTACTTTAGCTACACTTGCGTAGCACTCTTCTAATGTATTGCCAAGAAGAAAAGATTCAAATACTGAACTTTGAAAATTTTTTATTAACTGAAGTTCACCACGACGTTTGACTTCAAACCCCTTCAGTTCAGCTAAGCTCGCATCGAAATTAAAAACTGCATAACGTTTTTTTAACTTCTTACCCTCTTCTTTTGCAGCGGGTAATACCATTGCCAAATAGGGTCCATCTACTTCAAAAAATATTGAATTTTCAGACCGAATTTTATATTCGGGTTCCTGATTTTCACTTGCACACTTAATCAATTCGTGATATTGATCATTAGTAAAATGATCTTTCACCATTGTGTTAAGAACTGCATTTGGATATGAAATATTTATTTTTTTTTTCTTTTCGTCTTCTGTCAATATTGTATATTCTTGTGGGAATGATCCAGGTAAAATACACCATATGCCATCCGTATCTAGTTCTAAGGGTCGACCAACTCTTTCAATAATTTCTCTAGCCTTCGTAATTATATTAGATCCCGTGAGGCAAACAATACCTTAAATTGTAAGATATTTAGTTTTATTGAATTTTATATAAGTTTTACAAAACTAACCTGCCATTGACATTGAGTGCCAACGGGCGCCTTTACGCATGACATAGCCATAAAATGAATTCAAAATGCATTTGTGCGCTAATTGTAAGGAGTCATATAAAACTTCTCTTCCTTTGGCGGCCTTAATTTCAGAAGCGTCACCGCTTTTGATTGCTGCAACTATAGCAGCTTTTGCTACTTTTGTCAAACCCTTATATTCGTACCTCCTATCTCTAAAAGCCCTTACAGTGTCCACATAAAAACTGTTTTCCTTTTGACAAATTGTGGATACTCTTGTTTCTAATTTAGTAACTTTTGTTTTTTTATATGCTTTTCGACAATAATCTAATAATCTCCTTTTTTCATATGCAGCTTGATCTTCTTTTGAGAGCTCATGAAAAGCACGCTGGGGGCCACCAGGAAATAATGGTGGAAATTTTTCTGTTTCTAGTTGCTGCTGAATTCTTTGAAATTCATTTTTGTTAGCAGGTAGCATTTCCCCGCGCCATAACCATTCCATTGAACGCTTACATTTAGCTCCCGGTCGATTAAAGTCACAAGCAGCGCAATCTGTTTCATTAACCATTGATGATGGTTGTAAGCGATTTGTTAAAATAATGTTTGGATACATTGCACCTACATCAAGATGATAAATTACAGGCTGCTCCAAGCGATTCGGAATATCATATAATCCTTGCAAAGCCTGAGTAATTTCATTAGCAACCTCATCTAAATTTTTTACTTTTTCCAAAGGAACACTTTCTTCTGTTTCTATTGCATGTGCTAGAACTTTTGGTACATTTTCTTTTAACTGCATTATCATATCTTGGTCCAGTCGAAAACGACATGGTATATCAGCACGAAAAACTCCTGATTCTAATGCCTCTACATGGCCACCAACGTACGTCTCAGAATCCAAAACATGGCCTTCATTTGATAATTTATTCAATTCGTTCATTTGTTTGTTTGGAAATACTATATTTGCATGGAAAGCTTGCACCATCAATAAGGTTTCGCAAAGGGTTCCTGAACCTAAAAACGTACAAAAATTATGTATATGAATAGCTTTTGAATTATTTGTTTACAAACATACCTTTTCTCAAAATTTCATCTGGTTCCATTGGAATTATAGTAGTTAAGGCAAATATAAATGGATGCACATATTTCATGTATAAATAATATGTTGCCACAGCATCCGATACTGAATAATTTGAAAGAACTTGAGGCTGTTCAACCGCCATTTTACACATTTCTTCAGGATCAAGTTCCACTGGGTCGTATCTTAACTTTGCTTTCGCCACCGCTTTTAAGCCTTGGGAGCCAACTGGTAAATATGAATCACGTTTTACCCAACACAAACAATCCATATGAATAGATGGCCTTGATAGATAATTGCCGTCGCGCGATTTCGAAAACCCAATTTCTAATTTCATGTCTAAATCATAAACTGCAGCTCTAGTTTCGACAAAGGGCCAATCGAAAAAGTCTCCGTTATACGTAACAATTATATGTGGCTTGACTTCCATTATATGATCAAAAAATTTTTGTATTAAAGCCATTTCGTTTTCTTCGTTAAAAACAACAAAATTGCCTTCAAACTCAGGTTTTGGTGTATATTCAAAATCTGCCACATCAGAAGATATAATTTCTCGATTTGTAATTAAATATCCTTGCCCATCAATCATATAAGAAATCATCATAATTTGATCAGATTGTGCATCGGGAAATTTTAATGGTAATTTAGTTGTTTCTATATCATAAGCAAGAACAACTGGCTCTGGTCTTTCTAAAATATCAGGCCTTGGAGTTATCGAAGGCATTTCAAACCCACCACCTCTGCAGCGTATGTTATACCATTGACCACAAAAAATTTTCAAATCAATTGAAACTCGAACGTGATATGGTACATCATATTCTCTTATATCTAAAATAGCTTCCATGTAATCAATATTCAATAAAGAGCTTGAAGAACCTTCAACCGCAGAAGATAAAGAATGACTTAACATTTGCATGTAAAAAGTGTTAGCTTTTTCCCTTTCTGTATTCTTTCGAACGAATGCTAGTAGTTCCCGCCGAACTTTTTGCATTGATGTTTGATTCAAAAATGACAATTTTAAATAACATTGTTTGATACCAGTCAAGTGATTAGGAAGGTCCAAATCTTCTTTCATAATATGTTCCAAATTTGAAATCAATCCAGAATATTTTCGATGTAAAAAACGAGCAACTTCCAAAGACACAGAGTCCTTTACTCGAAGTAATAAATATGGTTGAAACAACACAGATGCCTTAAATCGCGATCCATCCATTTGCATAAAAAATAAATCAAGACATGCTACTAAACGACGATCTTCATCAAGAATTTCATTCTGTAATTGAGAATAAAGTAGGTAGTTTAAAAATATTTTAACTCATCTAAGATAGGCATAGGAACTTAGGTACATACGCATATATACATATGTATGTATATGCATTAGTAAATTACCGAGTGCATATTTATTAAATATCCAGTTCGCTCCTGGCTATCTTTGATTCTATCATATCCATATTTTGAATCTATTTTGTCATTTGCTCTTGACTCTCTATAACCAGCTTCACTAAATATATCGTCACTAAATAAAACATTTTTAATGAAAAACTCAAAGTATTTCAAAATAATTTTCTAAAAGTTACCTTTTCCTTTCATAATCAGTTACAAACTTTCCAGTATTTTTTAGAACTTTTTGATTTAAATTTTCCATGTTTTTCTAATTTTGCTTTTCTATTTTTTCCTCTTCGATATACGTATGAAATTTTATTTAGCTATTCAAAATCTTAAATTTTAAAACCTTAAAATAATTATTACAGTGACAGTTTTCCCGCCACAAGTCTAGTACATCAACCATAAAATACTAATTGCGGACTCCAACCTTCATATGATGACTGTCATGGGTTGTCAATGTGTACCAAAATTTTTAATTATTTAAGTAGAAAATGGATTTAATCAATTAGCTAATTTTAAAACTATGTCTATAAAACAGATTCTTATAGCATATGGAAATTGAAATAAGTTACTCTAAATTTTGTGTTTTTAAATCGAATGTTATATTATCCACCATTTATAATTATTTTCGCACATTTTAATTTTCTGTTAAATAAATTATAAATATGTAGTGTGTGTTACCATCGTTAATTTCTTTTTTGTTTTTTTGACACACATGATATAATGACAGTACTTTTTTTTGAAGAAATGGTAGTTGTCATAATTTTTTCTCAAAATATATTTTTATAATTTTTTTGTTTAGAACTTTTTCTTTATAAACAAAAAGTTTTACATATACTTTAAGAAAGTAAGTACAAAATAAAAACCATTTTTTTTCATATTTATAAAATTAGAACCTAATTTTGTATACAAATATTAAATTCGCCATCTTGAAAAGACTTATCGGCTTTGTTTATAATTATGAAAGTGATTTACAATGTTTCAAACTAAAAGTAAAAGAAAGTAAAATATGAAAAGAAAGTGAAAGAATTTTCGAGTTCTAATACCGAGAAAGTAATTTAATTTTGTGGTGCTAAGAAATGAAATAAGTAATTTTATCAAAATCTATTCATAAGTAAAATTTGAATCTTAAGTACATATTTACATATACTATTACTGCAGTGCTTTTTCACATACATTCAAATATATTTTCATATATTTTAAACGAACAATTCTAAATTGCAGTTTTGATAAGTGCACCCATATATTAGGTATTGCAATAATTCTTATCACGATTTTTTAAAATTAGAAAAAGGGGTACGGGAAAGTGCTGTATTGCATTGTTTTTTGAATCCATTATAATCCATTTTTTTACTTAACAACAAATTAATAAAGAAGAAATGTTGGGTATGAAAAACATACATATGTACGTATACATTACATAAATAAATACTTTCTTATGTATGTTTGTGTGTTGCTAATAATAATATATATTTTTCTTGTTACGTATGTATATATATACCTATAATTATATATATTATAATTCTGCTATATTAAATGTATGTAAACTATTTACATAAATAGATGTTGCGATGAGCTATTAAAACAATCAACTTACCACCATATGAGACGTTCTCTGCTTTGTTGGCCTTGAACTTGACTCAAATATTGGTCGCGTCATTTTCTATCTTATGTGGTATTTTCCTACACATAGAACGTTAAAAATAATAAAAAAAATATAAAGCTGGTAGAATGAGAACGGCAAATAGTTTCTTTTGATTTAATTTCAATCAGTTAAAATTCAATAAAAGTAATTAAAATTTTATTTAAAAAAGTAGGTAGGTAACTACATATACATTCATTTAAAAATATGTAATACTTATAAATATTACGTTTTGAATAAGCTGGCAGAACATAATAAAAATTTTCCATAGAATTTCAATTCAAGTAAGCAAACAACTACTTAGTTATATTTAAATGTATCACATCGTTTACACATCAAACATTAGACATTCAAACATCATGAATTTTGTTTGAACTGATAAAAGTTGCACGTGTTGCATAAACATCTGTTGTTTTTTTTATGGAAAAAATAGAAAGCCATTCAATTTCATAAAACTTATTGAACAATGTTATGTATACATAAGTATATAAACGCTGATTGAAATCGTAACTTCTGAAATTTAAGAACCGCAGTAAACTTAAAACAATACTTTGCAGTAACATACAAGGCAGTGGTACTAAGGGTAAGAATACCACAAATATTTGGGTACTAAAAGAGACAGGCTCAAGTTAAGATTTAAGTAGGCTCAAGATCTGCTGCAGAAAATTACACTGCCAATTTTTTGGTATTTTCAAAAAAGTGGAGGATGAAGTACTTAAAAAGTATTATGTACATGTTTACAATAAAACACATTCGTGCTTTTATCACGAAATCATCTTGTTGAAACAACCCTGTTTGTTTACAATAAACTATAAATAAAAAAGATCATCAATAAGTATTAAAGTAAATAAGAAAAATGTATTTGCTGTAAATTTTACTTGATATTAAATATATTGGGAACAAAATGATCAACTGAAATACAAACATACGTATATCTTTATACAATTTTTTGCCTTCACATTTTTACTTTGAACAGAATTAAAACCAATAATTGTTTTTGTTCTGTTTTGTGTTAATAATATTTGAGAACGAATTATTTTTACATGAGAAATTTTCGTGTAAAAAATTGTGAACAATTTGAGAGAGAATTCCCATATTAAATTAATGAAGTACCTGGATCCTTAAGACATTAAATGTTGTTAAAATTTCATAGGTATTTGATATTACTATTTAAAACCAAATTTTGAAAAATTGAATTGAGTTTTCAACCTTAATAAAACTTAAAATTAATTCAAAAGTCAGATAAAATATTGTATGAACATATGTACATATATTATGTTTATACAAAAACTGGCAAAATATTTTCAGCTTTTTCTCTGTGTAAGCTCACGTTATTAAGTTTAGATTGTAGAAATTGTTTTTATATTATATTGGATAAGCAGTACGTAATTTTTAAAATTTATACTATATTTTGAAAGTTGATAGCTAAAATTTCAAATATATATGTATATTGCAGAAATTAATTTCTATACATACACATTTATATCTATGTAAATACAACAAACTTTTTTGCTTATTTCCAAATTACACAATCAAAGAAAACAGTTTTTTGTAGAAACTTTTTAAAAAAGCTATGGTTTTAACATGCTCCTGCAAATCTTGTAAACTCCTAATTTAATGGTTCAAGCAATAACTTATTTATGAAGCTTGTTATCAAATAATTTGGTAGTTTAAATTACATTGTGCAAGTGCTATTAAATTAATATTAAACAATCTACCACCTACGAGTTTTTTTAAACCAATAAACTATTATGATGTAACTATACATTTTAGGATATACTTATCATTATTAGGTTAATACAAATAACTAATTTAAATAACTAAAATAAAAAAAATATTCAGTAGGTATACATTGTGGTAGGTATTAATAGAGTTCTCATATTCATTACAATTATTACACGTGGTAATTAGTTTTTTTCCCTAAAAATTATTTCAATAATAATTTCTTGAAAAATTTTATTCCACAAAATAATGTGTATTGTTATCCTATTAACAATTAAGGTGACTCGATTTAGGTAAATAAATATATACTTAGTTACATATGTAAGTATATGGGAAAAGATATTAAAGAGGTAACTATAGAATTAAAAAGCAGTTTACCTATGTATTTAATGTAAACTTGCATATTTTATGCACACATAGTTTTACTTAAATATACAACACAATAAATTAAAGCCCATAAATTTTTATACAGGAAAGCACGTATACTAAGTTAAAGAACTAAAAATACTATAGAATATTCGTACCTATGTACAATTATAATGAAAATAAAGAATGAATAAAAAACAAAAATCAAACTGAGAAAAAAAGAATATTCACATGTAGATACATACATAATACGTTTATATAATTTGTGCAAATATACTTACTAATGTATAATTTTACTTTTTATTCATTTAGGTAAGAATGTATGAACATACAAACATATGTGTATTATATATTAAAATATATTTAATTAAACAAACCTTATAATTAAAATCAACTAACTCCAAATAATCATAAAACAAATATTTGACATTTATTTAGGTTGGTACAAAAAATATTATTAAAACTAGGGTTAGTTTATTTAATTGTTAGTTTATTTTAATCATAAATTGGAATATTTTGTTATTTAGTTTATTTCTTCTAAATTTTAATTTTTGTATTATTAAAAATTCTGAGAAAAAATAAAACCTTTAAGTTTTTAATCAATCTTAATTAAAATTCATTAAAGAATTCATTTTCACAGTAGTTTCTTTTTATTGGATATTTTTGAAAATGATCAATTCTGATGCTATAGTTGACATGCTTTAATTCTGATATAAACTGAATATTAGCTATAGCATCAGAAAAAAACAACTGCAACAATATTACTAATTTAATAAAGAAACTTTGAAGTACTTTTCTTGAATTATTACCACAATCATATGTTTTTATTCAATTAAATAATTAGAAACTAAACGTTACAATTACAATAAAAAAATACTTTTAAAAAATATATTAAATAAATAATTTTTTTTTTATATAATTATAATTTATTTAATTGTCATATATAATTAAATTATAATTTATTCAATTATATTTAATGGTAAAAATACAAAATTTACTCTAATATTTCTTTTTATTTGCTGTAGTTAAATTAAAACCGCGTGTTTAGGATCAATTTTTTACGAACAAGATCGTAATTTGCAGTTGTAGTTTAAAAAAATACTGTCAAAATATTGCTGCCTTTTCAAAAATACTTTATAGGAAATTCATGTAGTACTTATCAAATTCACTGCCAATTAAGTACTAAAATAGAACTTAATATTACCAAAAATACCTTCATAATTTATATAAAAATGAATATTTAAGAAAAACCACTTAGTCTGTTTTACAATGCGACTGCGATGTATTTCACCTATAAAAGTATAATATAAGAATACAAAATATGTATGTATATTGTATATGTATTCAATATATAAATGTTTATAATGAAAGCAATATAAATTTCACTTAGAATTTTGTAGAGGCATACCGAAAAAAAATTTTAGGAGCAGAATAAAAAAAAAAGAAAAGCTTGTTAAACAATTATTATTGTTATTTTTATTTTACATTTTGTTTTTTTATTTCATTTAGTTTCAATCGCGAAGTCATAAGAGTAACAAAAATAAAAAAAATTACACAATAATCAAAAGTTTTAGAAGTTTAATTGTTTTTTTTTTTAGTTTTAATTTCTTAATTTTTACTTTTTAACAATTCAAAATTCTTACTTCTCTTAAAATCCGGATAATGTTTGCTCGTAAAAAATTTGTTACCTTTTTCAAACTAATTTAAATTTTTTCTCTATTTTTGCATTTTCAATAGAAAATAAAAAAAAAATAAAATTCATAAAATATTTTTTTTTTGTTTAATACCTAAATATGTATAAAAACAATTTATAATAAATTTTAAACAAATTAATATCAAATGAAATTTTGTGATTGGAAAAATCGGAAAAAAATTTAATAAATTTTTTATAAAAATTTTCATCCGCAAAGTTAATTTTAGTTTATTTTCATACTACATCGGGTATCTTTATTCGATTTCACAGTTCGTAAACTATAAAAATGAAAAAATATAAATTTTATGAAAATATTTAAAAAAAAATTTATTTCGAATATTTCATTCGCGAAATATATAAAATAAGTGCTGTGATATTTACATACAAAATATACATATGTACATGTTTCTAAAATTTTTAACATAATTTTTAATATTTTAATTTTATATACGTATTTTTATATTACAATGTTTTAAATTTCTGTTATATTTATTTAATTGACAACGTTTTCATTCGAGTTAAGTAAAAACATCGAAAAAATAAAGATCTTAAATGGATGTCTGGATGCAGGATGTGGTAAAAACAAAAAGTTATAATTAAATTTTTTATTTACATACGTATACGAATGCATTTACATATATACTAATATAATATGATTTGATTCACTTATAAATATTGATCAATTTTATAAAACAAAACTTTATTTTACGAATACGAAATATGTTACGAATTCTATGCGGTTTTATTGAAGTTACAGTTAACTTCCGCATAATGAGCACATCTATGTCCGCATACTAATTTTTTTAGTCTTTTTATTCTACTCATTGTCAAAGAGGTTATGATTGTCATAACGTTATATTTTCACAAAATAGAAGCCAATTCTCAAGGATCACCTATGCATATATACGTTTGTGCCCTACAATCCTCATAAGAATTAGAAATGGCTAAGTAAGGTTTCACTATCGACAGTGACTGCTTGCTATTAAAAATTTACTTACATATATACACATACATTTCATCGTTTTCAAAACCTCCCTACAAATGTATCTAGGTAGATACTCGAATAAATGTGTACATGTTATTTAATTTTTGATTATTTTTCTTTTCTTTGTTCTAATTCTAAAAAAGTAATTAGTAATATGAAAATATAAGAATGTTTGAATTAGTGTACATACTAAGTACATAGTAGCACACTATGTCTCCTAAGTTTACGGCAATTATATACATAAGTATGTAAGTTGGGGGCATATATTTTTTATACATTTTTGCACATAGAAATAGAAATTACTCTATGTGTCTCGGTACATACATACATACGCCAGATCATTAATATTTGAAAACAAAATATAAAAATGAAAAGAATTTTAAACGAATTACATACTATTCCCATCTACATCCACAATAAAAGGTTTCTTTTGCTTTTTTTGTTTTTTTTTTCGTTGCCGGTTTAAATTATAAGCGTCATATTATACTTTCTGTAGTGTTTGCTTCAGTTGAATAAATAACTATAAAACTTTTTAAACAAAAAAAATTAAGAAAAAAACAATAACAAATTTCCAGATGGTTTAAAGCTTTTATTATTTAAGATTAAAATCATTTTTCACGACAACACAAACAATCAAAAAATTTGGAAATATTTTTTTATTTAAATATGTAAGTACTCAAAAATTTAGATTCCCCTTTATAATAACGAATGGCCTCAAATGAAAACTAAAGGTACTTTTAGAAAATCTTGATTTTGTCATTAATATAAAACACACATTTTTCTTTTTGTTATACACAAGAAACCAATGTGGTATTTAATGTACATGTACGTTATGTAGAATAACCATCGTGAAGTAATACGAAACAATAAATATACTAATTAAATTTTCAAAATAATACAAAGTGTTCTTTAAATAAAGTTCTCTTTAAGTCTGCTCTTAAGTTTCTACATGGAAGACTTTAGATTTCTACAAGAATCAATTTATAATATCTTAAACTATTAATACAATTGCTACAGTATTAATAGTTTAAGATATATAATAATATAAATATTGCAATTAAAATCCTGGAGGCTAAAAATTGAAAAAGAACTAAAAAATAGCTTATATTTTTAGCCGAGAACGATTTGTTTAGCCGAGAGCCGATTGAGAACGAACAGAGCATTTTTAAAAGACACATTAATAAGAGTTCCTACATGGAAAATCTAAAATTTTTGAAATAATACATTATAAATTTATACACATGAAAATATAAATGCACATTTATATGCATACATATGTACAAATGTGCTTCTCTTAAAAAATATATGTATTTGATAGGTAAATTAAATTAAATTTTTATGGAAAACTAGAAATGGGGTGTGTTCTCAGCACATTAAATCAGAAATGATGGTGTGTTTACATAATTAAGCTTCACTTAATAACTTAATAATTTATTTAATTTAGCATCAATATTTACTATTTTTAATTCACTTAAAAAAGTTTCTATTAAATAGTATAGCTTTGTAATCAAAAAACTTATTACTTTATAAAAACTATATAAGTTTGTAAATAAAAGAATAAAAATTCAAAATGTCACAGTATTAGAACGCAAAATTTACGGGACAAATATTAAAGCATAGTAGCAAAATTCATCTAGCAGATATATTGATGTATAAAGATTCAAATTTCATACCTTCAAATAATACGAGTATTTTTTTTTATTACTAATGCATATTTGATCAGATGTTTTATTTAATTATTATATTGTATTTTTAATTTATTCTTGCACCCGTATATAAATAATGAAGAAATACGTTGTTTTCCTTCGAATTTCTCAAATAATTTGCCCCACCGTTATAGAATTTCAATATAATTTTACTGAAAAATTAATACTTATAATGTGCTCCATTTGTAAAATCATTCCCTCCATGTGCAACGAGGTCAGTAAGTATTAACAAGCTCGTTGAATATAAAACAAAGGCAAATATGACCAACTTCAAAAAAAATTTAATGTCTCTAAAAAATCTAGACTGGAACAGATAAAATTTTACTTCATTGTACACAAATAATTAATAAATCAAATTGCAAAATTTAAATAAAATCGTTCGAACATATTTTTTTTAATTAACGTTCAAACTTTCTTTTTCAAATTTGTCGATTTCGTGTTGGCGGCGAGTGGAGCAAATTAAAACTCAGCCGACGATATTTGGCTGAGTACGAATAAAAATTTCGAGCCTAAAAATTATATTGACCATGACGACGTCTTTGAATTAATTATTACATGTGACAAAAAATCTTTTTAACGTAAAAATCTTGCGAATAGAAAAACGCATACGTTCATGAACTTTAAAAAAAGTTTTGCTAAAATATCAGTAATTCGATATTGAAGTATTGAAAAAATGTACTTGAAAAATTCGATTGAAAAAACAACGAGTGAAAACTTTGTCCTAGAAGTCTACTTCTAGGATGTAGAAAGAAGTTTAAAGTAACAATCAGGTATTTCCAATCATGCTTTGGGTATGCGCCCAAAAGCAAAAATGTAATTGATAGAACGAATCCTTTGTTTTATAAAATAACTAAATTGTTTTTAATAAATAACTTAAGAGTTAAGCTAAAAGCATAATCAATAAGCTAATGAAAACGATCTAATAGAGTAATTTTTACACCATCTAATTTTTAATTAGAATTATCTTATTACACAATTTTGCATAAATTTAGGAGAAAAATTTGCATAAAATTTTCAAAAACTTTATGCCATTATAAAGCTCGAATCGTAATTACAATTAAAGTTATAATTTTGAATAAGACGATTACTGGTATATTTTCACTTTTACAGAAGTTTAAGAGAGCTTATAGTATTTAAGAAATATTAGACGAACATTGACATTTTGAGTCAAAAAATAAACGAAGAAGGATAAGTAATAAATAGATTTCGTTTTTGTAAAATGAAATATTTATCGATATCCATATTTTGTTTTAGAAAAATCCGTGTTACTTTGTAACAATAAAATCGCTCGAAGAAAAAATAAAAAGCCATTTGAAATAATGTTTAATTTGAAAGATTAATTCGGCGCAATGAAATTTATTTGCTTATATAGTTTTTTAATGATATTGGAAGTATGTACATATGTTAATTCACATATTGCTTTTAATTTTAATTGTTATAAATAAAAATTTTAATAAATTCGTTGTACAGGAATTAAATAATTATCGAGCTTATTCGTTTGGCAACTTTTGGCAAGTGTTTTCTCAATTTCTTTAATGCATACCTATTACATGTGAAACTTAAGAATGGTAGTCTAAAATATTTTATAGTTTTGAAACATTTGCATAATAAATATGTTCTTTTTTTGTCAAAATTGCTTCAAATTTCAAAATTTAAAATAAATACAGAAATTCTAATGAACATTTTTTAATTAATTTATTTCCCTTAGATATTTCGATATTTCATTTTATTGATTGATGAAAATATTGATAATCTTATCTAACAAAAAAAATATACTTATATAAACTGCTTAATATGAAATAATCTTGTTTACTTTAAAATGGATCCAACGTGTCTGTATTGCAAGTGTGATATATTAAAAAAAAATTTAAAAATTTAATTGTTTTTCTTTCGTTACTTTATAACATGAAATCGTTTTTATTCACCACTTTATCTTTTGATTGTCTGACTATCAGTCTGATATTGTTAGATTTAAAAAAAAATTAAAGAATTTAAATAGATTTTTTCTTCTCATGAAATATTTGTAAACTGTCCAATAACATTGTGCACAAGTAATCAAAAGTAAGCAAAAATTGCTGTTTAAAAAATTATTAAAATATTTGAAAATTTCGTCTGTAGATTAATTAGACTTTTCGACTAATTGTACAATATGTTGAAAATGTGATGTATTTTAATATAACCTTGTTGTAAATAATATTCTTCTCTATTACGTTAGTTACAGTTGATTTTATCAAGTTGCATAATTAAATAATAATTGTTTAAAGATAAATTATTTGGTATTAAATTATAATAATAAAGAAAAGATAATTTTTATATAAATATTGTAACATATGAGTAGAATGCATTTTATAACGTTTAATTCGTATAAATATATTTTGATTTATTTAAATATTCTTCATTTAAGTTTCCATATTTTAAGATTGTATATAAGCCTTTTAAAATGATTTATTATATCAGATAATATGGAAATGGCACAAAAAATAAATTCTATAACTCTCAACGTTACTATACCCGTGTATAATTGTATTGTTCGTGAATAAATAAATAAACAGGAATATCAATATTAGTATTGTTCTAGCTCTAAATTGTGGAATGCAATTAGGAATTGATAAATACATTTACATATTATATCAACATCATTTTAGAAAAAAAATTATGTTTGTTTCAATTCATATTAATTATATAAACAGCTTATTCCAACATATAAGTAAAATGATAGAAAGCGTATTTAAAATTTTTCATTTTATTGTTATTTTGCGAAGTGCAAGATTATTAAATTTATTTACTTTTAAATTAAGTTTCATTCTCTTCTACGTTGTATAGATCTCAAATACAACCATGGATTTCTCTTACATAATATATTTTTTATAAATCTCAAAGTTAAATCACAAAAAAAGGAGTATTTTTCCAACTTTGAAGTTTTCTTGTTTTTTGTTTAAATACTTTATAGATGATTGATGATAAAAACTGTGAATCCCAAAATTTTGGTAGTCATGCTATGTATATTTATAAGTATGGTCGATATGTAGTTTAACTTTCTTTCGCATAATATATTGAAAAGTTCTCGTAAAAAAATTCTTGATAAAAATTAATGAAAAATTAATTCATGAGTAACAGTATGCCAATGTAAAAATGTAATCAATTTGTTAATTATAGTGTTTTTCGCTAATTAAAAACAACCACAGAAAAAATCAAGTATATCGTAAATTTCCTTCTCAGTATACATGACTTCTTAAATTTCTGTAAAGCGAACAATATCGACTTATTCGTATACATTTGTAAATATGTATGTATAGAAAAATAAAAATTTTTATTTTTATTTATACAATAAAATACACCACAATGTACGCGAAATGTACAATATTATATCATATAATACGCTATAATTTTTGTAGAATATTTTTTTACATATACAAGCTCATACTATGAATGTATGTACATACATAATATATATTATGTCAATACAATACAATATATGAAGTTTAATAAACATACGTACATATGTACGTATATACAGATTTTATATGAATATTCATAAAATATATTTAATTGTATGTATTTAAAAAAAAAATTTTCGGCCAAGTTCAAGGTAAAATTCGCAGATAATTCTAATACCGATAAAAGCTTATTTTTATTTTTTATACATTAAGACCTTATACATAAAAAACAATAACAATAGAATATACACTATAAAAAATTTAGGCATAAGTATATTCTGTTATATGAAATCATTGATTAACAATATGTTTAATAATATAATCAATATAACAATACATAATAGGCACGAATTTTGAAATTATGTATTATTACTCTTGTATTTTATTGTATCGAAATTTATTTAATTTATTACTTAAACTAATATTATAAAAGTATTCCATATGAAATGTATATACAATATTTCTTCTACAAAATTGGTTTGTAGGCAATGCGAATGAGACGTATCATCCAGATATTTTCAATGTAATATATCCCCGAAAATTCAAAGACAATTCTGGAAATATTTTAAAAAAATATCATTTTGAGTCATATAATATTCATTATCACTTTTTCTGTTAAAAAACGTTTTTGTAATAAAATTTGCCGAAAAATGTTGTTTTTCTAATTGTAACATGTTGTGTACTGTTAATAAATTATTGCAAATATGATCAATGATTATTACTTTATCGAAATTATTTCTGAAACAAAATAATGAATTTCAATTGACTCTGGATAACATTCTCAAATTCTAATTTAAGAAAGCATGGAAGTGAACCGGCAAATTCATGGCTTTAAAAAGCCATAATTTTAGATCCTTACTGTGATTGAGGTTTCAACTTTGGTATAACATTGTTAATCATAAATGATTATTTGAACATTTTTATTTATGCACACTTAAATATTGATAGTTTCAATGATAAAAATAAAACAAATAAAAATGCATTTTATGCTAAAATTTCAGTGCTTTGGATATTATGATGTTTTAAAATATGAGATTTTTGTTAAATAAATTTATTTTGTAGTTTTCAACTACCGTAATTTTTCTCTGTGTAACATAAATAGTGAAATATATTATCAATATGAGCATAATATACTCATTACAAATCGTTGAAGTTAATTGTTTTTTATACACATACATGTCGAAACAGATTGAGGCATATGTCTTTTATAAAGTATTATTAACAATTTATTCTAAATAAATAAATTCATAAAATAAAAATATACTATAGTAGTGTTTTTTTTTGTTGTTTTCTTTTTGCAATTTCAAGTGTATCATTGGGTACTTTTAGTATAAAATTAACATACACACCCAATTTTACATTTCTATATGCATTCCCATATACATATTTTATGTACACAACTTGTTAATTTTGTATTACTTATGTATGTATGTATATAATATATACATTGTAATACAGAAGTACGAGTAACAAGTTAATTTATGAAAAATCTTTGAAGTAAATTCAAAGCCACAATGTAACTCAAAGTGTTCTATTATTTATGCAAGTTATGCTTATGCATAATATCATTGGCTAGTTTAACATTTTTATTAAGCAAAAAAATAGGTTTTATTTAAAAAAACAGTTTCACTTAAATAAAATTTAGTTTCAACTGAACTAAAAAAAAATTTAGTTTCATTTAGAAAAATGCGAAAATGGTTTAATTAAACTAAAAAATGCGAAAAAAAACAAACTTTGCAAATTGTTGATTCGGCAATTGATAGCAAAGACTGACAAGAGTATTCATGAGTATACGTCAAAAGTTTAAGAGAAATAAAAATTCTGCTTCATCGCGTAACTCCTTACTGAGTTTCTTTGTTTTTACAATTAATATTAAAAAAATTTATTTTGTATTTTACCTTTGCGTCAAAGTCCTCGAGCTCATAATTTATCAAACTTTTGTTTCCTCAGCAGTTTAAAATATTGTATTATTAAAAAATTTTTAATATATAATTTATATCAGGTATCTGCGATGACTGATTCCTCAGTACATCTTGTTAAACAAGAACTAATAATTGACACATCATGTGGTAGCCCAACCCCATCAGTTGGAAATGCTTTAGGAAGCATGAATTACACATCACAGGTAAAATGATAAATTTTAGAGGACTAATTTTTCCTTTGTAAAAAAAATACATTTTCGTTCTAAATAGGCTTCACCAGGTTCCCCAGAGAGACAATTTTGTAGCTCAACTACTACTCCTCTTGGTGACATTTGCGGTGATTCTAGTAGTATGCATTCTATTAAAGAAGAACTTCCGAGGTGAATCTTTTTCCTTTTTTACATTTGCAGTAATTTTGTTTAAATTTTTGTTTTTCTCTTTGTACAGGAGATTGTGTTTAGTTTGTGGTGATAACGCATCTGGATTTCATTATGGAGTTGCCAGTTGTGAAGCTTGTAAAGCATTTTTCAAAAGAACGATTCAAGGTAGTTGATACTGCTGTTCTTACTTAATTATTAAATTATAATTTTTACGAAATTTTACTAAAATATAAATATTTAGGAAACATTGAATATACTTGTCCTGCCAATAATGAATGTGAAATAAACAAAAGACGTAGAAAAGCATGCCAAGCTTGCCGTTTTCAAAAATGTCTTATGATGGGTATGTTAAAAGAAGGTGTGAGATTAGACAGAGTTCGCGGTGGACGACAAAAATACAGACGTAATCCAGTTTCAAATCCATATCAAATGCAAGCATTATACCAAACAGCTACTTCAACATTAGATGATATTAAAATTTTAGAAGTTTTATCAAATTTCGAACCAGATCCATGCTATGTTGGTCATTTTGATAATGATGATTTTTTAAGTAATAGCAATGATAAATCAACATCTTCATCACAAGCAACTACAACAACTACCACTTCGTCATCTTTATCTAGCAGTATATTTGATAAAGATAAAAATTGCATGGATGTTCATGAGATTTTAAGCATTTTAAGTAATCTTTATGATTGTGAATTAGTCAATGTCATTGGTTGGGCAAAACAAATACCGGGTTTCACAGAATTACCTCTTAACGATCAAATGAAATTATTACAAGTATCTTGGGCTGAGATATTAACATTACAATTAGCATATCGTTCCTTACCATATAATGGTAAATTGTTTTTTGCATCAGATTTTTGTTTAGATGAACGATCTGCAAAAGAATGTGGAGCTATCGAATTTTTTCACCATGTAAGAAATTTTTGTATAAATGAATTAACTTTCAATTAACAATATATAAATTCAATTAACTTTAAATCCACAATTATATTTATATTAGTGTGTACAAATAACACAGCGATTAGAAAGGCTGTCACCTAGTAAGGAAGAATATTATTTACTGAAAGCTTTAGTGTTATCCAATTGTGATATTCGTTTGGATGATCAATTACTTTTAAAAAAATTTAGAGACACTATATTAAGTGCATTCAATGATTGCGTTTATTTATTAAGGTAATTGTCAATTTCATATCTTTTGCGGAAATTGTATAATAATTTTAAACCGTTATTTTTTTAGACATACCGCAGCTGTGTCATATCAACAGCAATTGTTACTAATATTACCTTCGTTAAGACAAGCCGACAATATTATAAGAAAATTTTGGCTAAAAGTCTCACGTGAAGAGAATGTAGTAATGAAAAAACTTTTTGTTGAAATGTTAGAAAGTGTATCAAGATAAGCTAAAATTCTTTTATTTTTTTTATATAAGTGAATATACTTTTATAACTATATGCTATATGATATATTAATAAAATATGTTATACTAATTGTTTGCAAAACATCAAAATGAAATTTAGTTACCATTTTTTTAATTTTTAATTTGCATTAGCATGTTTATGTATACACTACACATAAAAATGTTTTGAAAAGTTATATATACATATTATGATATATAATTAAATTTTTTAGTTTTGAAGTCGTATTAAGTTTCTTAAAACAATTAAATTGTACTAAATATTATATAAAAAAAAATATATGAATGTATTATTTATGGAGCAATCAGTGCGTTTTAGAAATAAAAAAAAACATTATTTTTTAGATTCATAAAAAGTTTACCAAATTGTTCTAGCAAGAGTATAATCAAAATATTGAAACAAGTATATTACTTAATCTATGTACTCAAAATAATTTATCTGGATTGAAAATATTAATTTGTTTAAAATTGTGTTACTGATATACAAAAATATCGTAAATAGTAACCTTCTACGTTTTTTATATACTGGAAAAGAGTTTTTAAAAAATTTTTATAATTTAATGTTGTACTTATTTTGATTGTAAAGACATTTTAATTAATAAACAAAAAAAAAGTGTACATAACACCTTTGAAATCGATGTATTTATATTTAGAGTTAATTAAAAAGCATTAAACACAATAAGTTAAAAAGTAAATAATTATCAGAAAATATAATTTTGAAAAAAAAATTGCTAAAATAATAAAAACCGATTTTTCATTATTGTTTTAATTTTTTTATTTTGTTAACTAAAGAAATTTTGTATGCTTATTTGCATAAACTCATCCTTTTAGAAAAGAAAAATAAATTTAATGTTCAATTCCATATAAGTTATATATGTACATAGTTTAATAAACTAAAAATATGAAGTTGCACTTCTACCTCAATTCTTTGTTTTTTGTTTGGTTAAAAAAGAAATTTAAATCGCCTCTAATAGACCAAGTGTTACAAATTTTGAAATAAGTACATACAGAAAAAAAATGAAATCATAAAAAATTGTTTAAAGTTTTTAGAAATAGGTAAAGTTATTATGCATTAAAACGAAAAAAAAAAACAAATTTAGAAAAAAAATTGAAAAAGATGTTCTAATAAAACAAACATGAAAAATTTATATTCGAAAATTGAGAGTTTTATTATATATTATTATTTATATTTGCCTACATATACACTTTAGCAACATTTTCAGCATTTCTTCTTCTGATAATATTTAATTGAAATAATCTGAGAAAATACTTTGAGCATAAGAAACTGTTATACATATACAACCGAAATGTACAAATAAAATTATTCATAAAGTTTCCTGGATTTACTTACCCTAGCTAATTTTGTCTAATTTAAAAACTGGACGGCTTTCTTATTAGTTACATATACACAATGTATACTTTATTTGATTTTGCAAAAGTTTTTCAAACAGACTAAAAGTTTATAAATTTTATATGTTACTTAGAGTAACCAACACAGTTTGAAATCAAAATTGTAATTTTGATTCAAAATTTTCCAAAGTTAGATATGAATTTTATTACCTTAAAATAAAAATTTACTTGTAGATACTCTCGTTTATCGAAACTTGCAAGTTGAATGCAAACTTGGCCTTAAAAAAGTTTTCATTTGGCGTACGGCCTTTTTTCAACACCCGTATACATAATAGGTACATATCTAAAAAATTAAAAGTTAAAATTTTTATAATATATTGAGTCGCCTTATAGTTTTCAATTAAAGATCCTTTATTACATTCATATACATACGCAAATTAAAACTTCAACTTTATTGCAACAAGCTTTTTAAGAAAAATATAAAATAGTTTGTATGTATATATTAAGTAATCTATGTAGAAGAATGTTTGGTACATATACATTATTAAGCAAAAACAGTTTTATTTATATTTAAAAAACGTATTTTATTATTTAGCTTCATTTACTTGTAAACATAAATAACTAAAAGAAAGAACTTTATTTCCTTGTTTTTTATCAAAAGTATAAAAACATTTTATTTTTCCTTTAAATTTAGTGTTGTAACTTAAATAAATATTAACTTAAACAAATTAAAATAGTTTTTTTTTTTTGTATGCATACATGTATTTTTATATTATTTATGATTTATATATTTATAAAAATATAAATACATATATATGTGTATATATTATATATAGATATGTATATGTATCTTTCCATATATTAAAATAATTTATTTTAATACAATTTAAATATTTTACCCTTCCTAGTCAAATTAAAGTTATGTATAGTTAGCATTCAAATGACAATAAGAATTTATCAAATTAAAAATAAAATTATAAAAATAATAATTAATTGGAAAATAAATAACAATTGCGAAAAATTAAAATGATTAAATAAAATAATGAATGAAATTTACAACAAAATTAAAAAAAATAAAGGGGCAATAAAAAGTAGAATTTTTTTTTCTTAAATTTATAATTTTAAAAATATAATATTAAGTTAAAAACTAAAATAATCGTATTGTTTTTTTTTTATATAGCATGGATATACAGATATTATTTCTTAAATAAAACAAATTTTGAACAAAATAATATTAATTTTGGAAAAAAGATTTATAAATCACACTTTAAAGATTTATATTCGCACAGATATAAGTATAAAAAAGCAATTACTAATATATATATAAATATAATATATTATTAATATATTTACAAGTTTTCCAAATACGTATATAAATAAGGAAACGTTATATGATAACTTAAAAAATACAATTATATATTATAATAAAGTACAATATATGTGAGGAAAATATAAAAAGTAAGCCAGATGAAAAGCACTATATTTTACTTATAAACACAACACACATACAAAATAGTTAAACTTGCATTGGATTTAAAATTAAAAAATAAATTATTCTCAAAATTTTGTATATTTTTGCATTAAAATGAAATATGCAAATTTTTTTTTTTTGTTATTTTTACTAATATTACTATTAAACACAACAAAATTTCAATAATATTGAAATAAAATAACTCATACAGTTTTGTCGATACTTTTACTTTATTATTAATGCTTAATCTAAATTCAAGTTTTATAATATTTTATAATATTTCAAAAACAAAAAGTTTTTTTACTTTAATGTTATTATTTAAAAATAACAAATAATAATTAATACAATTTTAGTATTATCTAATTATATTTTATATACGTATGTGCATATGATTATAATATATATATATATATATATATTCACAATATATTGCGCGTATTAGATAAAATAAAAAAAAAATTTTTTAACAGGTGATTCAGATTTAACAGTTACCTGTTTGTTTTCTTTTTTTCTTCTTGTCTTTTGACAATATAATAAAACTTTTATAATAAGTATGTAATTTTCTTTTCATAAAAAATTAATGCCTCAATATCAAGATTACTAAATTTAAAGACGTTTGGTATATTGTATACATTTTATCTCACTGGTTAAAAAAATTATATATTTAATATTATAATTTTAAAAGTAGTTCTAATTGAGTTGGTAAGCAATCATAAGTTACTAGTATTGAAATTTGAAATTAAATATTTACACCAAATTTTACAATTATTCTTTTTTTATTTAGTAATCTCTTGTTCAATTTCAGCATAATTAACGTTTATAATTAAATATCTAAATAAATAACAATATATTCTAAAAAAAAAGGAAACTTATAGGTTTTTATATTTTTTAATTTTTATATTATTTAATATAAAAAACTGAACAGTATTATGTAGAAAAACTCATTTAAATTATAATATTTTACAATAGATTTACACAGTTTTGAATTATAGTTTTCTTTAAAGTTTTAAGATTACAAGATTTGTATGTTTGGTCGTATTATACAGTCATATAAATTTTGTTTTATTATTTTTTATTAAAAATTCTAATAACATTAAAAGACTTCCATTAAAAATTAATATACGTGCTAATAAATATTTCCATTCTAATAAAATCCAAAAGGGTTATAAAAGCTATGAAAAAATCTTTAGTAACAACTAATGTTTCCATTGAATAACAATATTTAACAATCCCTTTTATTTCAATGATTCAGTAATCATTAGAATTTGATTTATATTTTAAGTAATTAATTTAAAAATACATTTTAAAAATTTAATTACATATTTATAAACCTAAATTTGTATGTAATTAGATGGTGTAGATTAGAGCCAAAGGAAGAAACATACAGAATTAATTTTACTGAAATTTTACTAAATTTTCTAGAAAAATTAGAGTAAAAGTATGTACATACTATTTTTTAAACGATTTAGTCAAATATTGTACTATAAATTGCTTAAATTTCATATCAAAATATTTATGTATATATGAAGTGTAAAAACATATTATACAAAAGTATTACAAATATTTTTTATTTTCATTCTTTTTGAGGATTTTTAAGAAACTTAAGTATAGTATCTTAAAAATCTAAAATAATTGTCTAGATTTAACAACATTCAAAAAACACTTTTGAAAATTTATAAAATTAATGATTATTGAAAGTTTTTTGTGTATAGCTGTATGCCAATTTCTATATTTTGCCATAAGTTACTTTTTCGTCAATCGAATAATTATATACTTACATATATCGAAAAGTTTAAAAATTCTATATAAATCTAATATGTTGTATTTATATTCTGTACATAATTATATACATGTGTCTATTTTGCATATTTGTTTAAATAATATGTATGTACTTATAATATATACCCATTCAAAAATTTCAAAGTTTAATTAGCCATTATATAACGTTCTCTTCTAGTTTACATTCAACATAGCAATAATAATAATATTTTCAAAAAGTATTAAAATTTGTAAGAACGTAAAATTAATTTAGCTGAAAATTTAAAGAAAAAAAAAGTCATCCCTCCATATTTCAAGCCTATGCTAAACTTATCCAAGAAGTTTAAAATTTGTAACATGATATTAATTTACATAATAAAATGTAGAGATATAGAAATTATTTTACAAAATAGACACGGATTTACGTTTAAATTTTTATCAATTAATTTGTGTATGCACACGTACTTATCGTTTTAATAACCAAAAAGAAAGGTCACGATTGATCGAGATTATATTTTACAGTTAAACGATTTCAAATAAAATTAAAATCATGGTGAAATTAACTGCACACTACGTTTAAGTTTCTGTCAATGCTATTGACATTATTGCCGTCGACCGTAGTTGTTAATGTATTATTATTGTTATTATTATTGTTATTATTATTGTTATTATTATTATTATTATTATTATTATTATTATTATTCGGTTTTTTATAGTTATTATTGTTATTATTGTTGTTATTATTATTGTTATTATTATTATTATTATTATTATTATTATTATTATTTTGATTGTTATTAATTAAATTTTGTTCTAATATTGAATTTCGCAAACGTAACAAAGCTGCTTTTGCGTCATTTTCAGCTTCTTCGTCGATTACTGTTGAATCAGATGGTGTTGTTGAACTACAATCTTCTTCAGAACGAGCACTTTCTTTACTTGATGTTGACGTATTATCACGAACATTACAATTAACGACACCTGGTTCTTGTTTAATATTTTGAACAAGATTAAGAGCTTCTTCTTCGTCTTCTTTCTCTGAAGTCGTCGATTGTGTTTGTTGTGGTGGTAATTCTGGTAATTTTATTTTAAAATTATCATTAACTAATGTTGGTGTTGTAGTTCCCGATGAATCTACTTGTTCTGGTGGACTTTTTTGTTGTTGTTGTTGCTGTTGTATTTGTTCTAGATCCGCTAATTCTTTATTACGCTTTTCTTTCATAATATCCTGATTATAATGCATTAACATTTTTCGTTTCGCAAAATATTTATGATGTTTGCGTCCATCTAATATTTTGCTACTACTGTTTGTATGTTGAATTGAATAATTATCTGGATGATTACTTTGATTGTTATTACTGTTATTACTACTAACACTACTATTATTATTACTGATATTATTGTTACTATTATTACTGGTACTATTGCTAGTATTATTATTACTATTGTTGTTGTTATTATTATTATTATTATTTGATGAATTGGTTATATATGCCTCATTTAAAGCAGCTTTTGAGCGAATATGCTCACGGAAATTCAAAAAGTTTTGACTTGGAATCTGTGGGCTGTGAACTGGAACTGGACTTGGTGTTGTTGAAGGTCCATTCATATTTGAATATATTGAGGACGAAGAGGGTACCTGGTTTTGAGAAAATTTGTCTTCTGATTGAGGAATTCTGCTGTTTCTCATTTCTTGGTCATTCTCTGCAGTACTCTGAAAGAATATACATTTGTACCATTCACATAGACACAAAGTTTTAAAAAATGAATTATTTTTATAATATAGATTATTACCTCACTATGCAATCCTTTTATTTTCATTGTTTCCGCAACTTTCAAAAAATTTGGTAAGTCTTCGTATTTTACATTGACCTAAAGTTTAACAGTTATTTTTTATTTTTTCAATGGCTTTGATAATTTATTTCCTGCTTACCTGTCCGCTATACATAAAATCAAGTAAACCTTGCATGTGATTACTATCAACGTCTGTCATAAATAAAATAGGATGACTACAGGGATGATCTAAGAATATTTTTTGGAAATAAGGACTACAAACAGATAAAACCTACATTTATTGCACATAAAAACAAAAAAAGGAAAACAAACATTGGAAGTATGCGACATAATTAGAAAATTATATATAAAGTGATTAGTTAAACTCACCAATTTATGTGCTTTGAATATTTTACCTCCAGCTGCAATAGTTACGTCGACCATTTTTTCATCTTTTTGAAGACTATGAAACCCTTTGCACATGTTCCCATGGAAATTATTCCATGATAATAAATATTGGTCGATGGTTTGATGTTCCGGATATTGTGATTGATGTTGATTATGATGTTGATGTTGATGGTGATGATGCTGAGATTGCTGAATTTGTTGCTGTTGCAGCTGTTGTTGCTGTTGTTGATGTTGTTGTTGTTGTTGATGTTGCTGTTGATAGTGTGTTTGAAATGGTGCTGCATGCTGGGTTTGCGAATGTGGAGTTGGCGATCTTTGATGGTGTTGCGATTGTGGTTGATGCTGTTGTGGTTGTGGTGGTGGTGGTGGTTGCGGCTGTGGAGAGGAAACGTGGTGATGATTTTCTAAATGATGCAGATCTGAATGATGATGACGCATTATATCTTTTGGTGGGGATAACATTTCTTGTTTTCGAATTTTATTAATTATTTCAGGTGACTTAACAATTGGTTTTTTGAAATCTTCAACACTACTTCCGTAATCATTTGGTATTGATAAATCAGTTCCTGTACCCTCATCGCTACTGTCATCATTCTCAATATCCATCTTTAATTGCTGCTGTTGTTGCTGTTGTTGTTGCTGTTGCTGTTGTTGTTGTCTTTGTTGTTGCTGTTGCTTTTGTCGGCGTACCAATTCAGATATATCCATGTAAGCACCAGATGTTGCTGCAGCAATTGCTGATGATATAATTGGATCATCTTCAAACACACTGTCATCAATAGTTTCTCTAAGTGTCTTTGTTGATGAAAATAGTCTTAAAGTTGGATCATTAACCTGGTCACTAAAGTAGACATCCATTAACGTAAAGAAAGGCCATTCCCGACGCTTCGGCTCCTCAGATAATTTAATAGCCTGCCGAAAATCAAAAATAAAATAAATTCATTAACCTTAAATTAATTAATTTAATAATCATTATCTTAAGATACTTTGATCAATTACAAAAAATTATTCGATACTTACAAAAAGGCTTTTGGGCAAAAGGTATATTTAAGTATTATTTTGTAAATTAAAGAAATAAATTCGAATCAAGTGAAAATAGATTTTTTTAGAAAACAATCTACATAGCTACTAGTTATATCAATCTTTTTAATATACCAAAATATATGAAAATATTGCATACGCTTAAGATGACCGATTTCAACAGCGTATCGTCTAGCTTTAGAGAAAAAGCGATATTAAAAATTTGGAAAAGAAATAAGTTTAAGATAACGGTTTATATCTACTGCATTTTCATTATTGTAATGTTTGATTATTCTGCATAGCAAAGGAAAGGCTACTGTAACTACTTTCGCAAAACTTATTAATAGTTACTCTATATGTTTGCAGAATTTAAAAAACGTTTATGGTTTCGATACAACAAATAGTCAAAAAATGGCATTTATATAGCACTTTTGGAGGCTACAACTTTTAGATAGATAAAAAAATTCTTTAACAGAAATAAATTTCTAATCAAGAATTCTTCAGGTTTTCATGGACTATGAAGCATCTTTATATATTACTTTAGAATAAAAACAATGTTAGCAAACCTAAATTCAATAATTTTTAAAGCATTGCTAATCAATAGCAGGAATAAATGCATGTTTAGAAATCGGAAAAAATTAATTGATATTTATTTGATAAAGGTGTTTATGTGTTTTACACGAAAGAACGCAGTACTAATTGTATTTCATGTAAAGAACATTGTTAAAACAATATTTTCATTATTAAAAACTAGAAAATCTATACGGTAATAATTCTTGTTAAATTCAAAAGTTTATTATTTGAACATAATATTTTGCATGCCTAATTACTTGTATAGGTATATGCATGGAAAACTAATACCTAAAAAGTTTGGCAGCTGACAAAACCGGAAATTTGTAAACTTAAAATTTCTCTTAAAAAAAAAATTATTCGGGAGTTATATTTTTAATATACTCGTACATATCCATATACATATTTATATATATATACATATGTAGGTTTTTAACGTAATATTTAGCATGCAAATTTAAAAGTAGGTCTCAGTACAGTTCTAACAACATACAATGGAAGCCTTTATTCAAGCGTTAATTTAACAATATTCTTTTATTATAATTTTTTCACATTTTTATTTTCCTTCACTTTTTAACTTTTTTTCTTTGAATTTAATAAAAACGAGTAGAAAACGAAAAAAAAATTAAATTATCACCTTTTCCGCTTTCTATGTTTAACGTTCTATAGGAATTCGTGGTATTATTTTTGTTTAATTCGACAACAAAAGCATGTAACAAAAAAAAGCAACAAAAAAGAGTAGAAAAGACTCACTTTCACCTCTTCTTTTCTTTTATGGTTAAATTTTTTGCTTTTTTTCTTGCTTTCTTAAGGAAAACCTCCAAGAATATGTCTAAATAAAGATAAAAAAAAACTCCTATCCAATTCCAATTCTGAACTGATACGAATCTTAAATTAAAAAGGAAAAAAAAACTCTTAAAGAGGAAAATTGGAAATCATTTTTTTGTTATTTTTTTCTTTTCAAGCCTCAAAACGAGGTCATGATCTACTTTTTGGATTTCAAATAGAAGTAAAGAAAATAATTTTTTCTTCATCTTTTAATTTTGATTTAATACTATATACACACATAATGTATGTATACGAGTATGTATAACTATAATATATACGAGAATATACATACTATATATACAAATATAGAATGAGCATATAAAATTGAAGCGGATGTTTTCTCATCCGTATTCGATTAGTTGCTGTTAAGCTAAACTATCTGATGAATTGCAAAATTGCATTCTACGTTGAACATAATTACATAAATATGTATGTGTATATTAACGAATGTACAACATGCCATCATTGTTTTTATAAGCAAAAAAAATATATAAAAGAACAAGTATGAATATACTCGTATAGTCATTGTTACATATATATAAATATATATATAATATATATAATCTTATGAAGCCTTATAAGACCCCTTGCAACAAATACAAATATCTTATTCTTATATAAAATTGTGCTCTTTTCAAGTGAAATTTTCATCAAGATCTCTCTCCTATTGTTACTATACCTCTACAATGCAAGTTCATATTAAATTTTTCTTTACACTTATACAAATGAATGAAATACTGCTTTTATGAATAATATTAATGCATTTTTCATGTGCTCACTTGGCATGTGGTAGGGCCATAATACTAGGCATTTAACTATTATTATACAACGAAAATAATTTTTTTTACACAATTTATTTAAAAATTGTTATCACTTTACCTGATAAATGGTACGTCTGGAATGAAAATTATGTATGACCAAGACCAAGATGAAAAAAATAGAGAAATTTTTTGAGGTAATTAAAATTTTTGCAAAATTTTTCAGGTTTCCAAGTCCAAGTTTTAGTCCTTTTCATAAAATTGTGAAAACTACAAATATTTCAGATCAAGTTTGTTCATAAGCCTAACTTATCAAGAATATAGTAAAATTCTTATGAGTGAAAACATTTTACTGTTTTGTTTTTATGCTATTGCCAGAAATATATTGCCCTTCATGCTTAAGCAGCTATCACTCGAAAACGATAAATCTTACATGAATCATTGACATTACCATTACTTACATCTATTAACTGAGGAAAAAAATTTCAAATAACACATTGCTTTAATTTCAAAAGCTTCGAAACTGTAATAAATATTTTTTAAACTCTTGTATTATATATTTTTCACAATATAATTTTCTCTAACCCTCCAAAACTACCCTTTTTACTAAAACACTCAAGGAATCACTTTCTCTTTAAGTCAAGAGAAAGCAATTCCTTGTTCCAGGGCACTTTGTATTCTTATGCGGCGCGGCGACTTGTTTTTTTATAGAGTGAAACTTCGGTTAACGTCACTACTGCCTCTTTTCCGAAACTTTTACTACTTCCTGTTTTTTTCCTATTGCTAATTTTGCAAAACTGCAAAATGCGCGCACAAAACTGCACATGCGCAGTTTCATCTTATCCGTCCGTCCGTGGACATGTTTACAAAACTTTTACACCCTTGAAGATAGAAAGTTGAAATTTAAATTTACATAGATCTTTACTAGGAACTTATTTCTGTGCTTATCTCCTCACTCTACCCGTCAAAATCCTAAAAATGCCATATTTTACCTATTTAATGCAATGAAACCGTTAAAAGCAAAATAACCGTTAAAACTTACAGTTATCTAAACTAAATTATAGTTATCCGTTTTTTTCAAATTTTTGATATCGTTTTTCTTCCAGATCTCAGTTTGTAGGAGTGTAAAATTTAGAAAAAAAAAGAAATGAACCATTTATTAGTGTTCCACCTCCACCTCCTTTCAAGTAATCGCCTCTCGAAATTTGTAAAATTTGAATTTTTGGCACCTTCCTATTTTCGAAACTGCAACCTTTTTCAATTTTCTACAAATGCAGAGAGCTAAAGGTAAATGGAATGCCGTTGAAAAATATACACTAAGTCCCCGAGATACGACATCTTCTAATACGACACTTCGAGTTACGAAAACTACATTTCAAGTACATTTTTATTCGGCTTGTGAGATTATTCCTGATACAATAAAAATTTAAAAAAAAATTTTTTTTTGACAGATTTTTTTTTGATTTTTGAATAAAACTCTATACCGAATTTAGTTATAAGACAAGTAAAAACGTTTCAGTCGGTATAAACCAAACGAATTATACCCTGCACTTTAGTAATCTGAGTTTAAAATTTGTTTTTGCCATATCTAGAATTAGCTGTCATCGTTGTATACTAACTATTCGAACCTGAAAAACCACTCTATTGAAACTGCATGGATATGTCTGGCCTATAATTGGACACACCACTGCTAAGTTTCATGAATCTAACTTTATTATTATCCAAATATTTATAATTAGCTTTTGGAGTTGCATGGCACCTACCCAAACCAGTGCAGCCATTCCATTAAAATTTTCAGAACATATATAGAGTGTAATTGGACACATCTTTGCAAAATTTAATATCCATATCTCTATTACTTTTTGAAATATTTAAAACAACCTCTTTGAGTTGTATGGCAGATACCCGAGTCCGTTGTCCGAATTGGTGCAATTACAATCAAAGTATATCTACTAACAAGGAGTTCGACTCTTCGTTTACATCACACTAATGCAATCACTCACCAATATTTGTATACAAAAAATTCCCTTAGTTAAAAGAGTTAAGCAGTATACCTTGTTATTTTCATTTTTATACAAATAAGAATTTTCGGGAGAGGGAAAGTGTACGCAATAGATGTCAACCTGTTTTTTTATAATGTATTTTGAAGGGCGACACTTTATTATTTGCTCGTATATAAAGTATAGGGAAAAATATTAAGAATTTTAAAAGCGACACAATATTTTCTGTAATTCATTCCAGTACAAGGTGGCAAAAAAGGTGTATTCATATTATAAAAGCGAAGCGGAAAAAAAGTGTTTAAAAAAAATTATTATAATTTATATGAAAAATAATATAAATAAATTTTAAAAAGACGTATAATATGAAAAAAAATTTTAAGTAGTTGTGAAAAAAAGTAGTTTTATAATATAATAATGGGTAAACATTATTTGAAGTCTTTGGGATGTAATATTGTGTGTGAGGCAAAAAAGCCGACACGAAATTTAATTTGTTGCCAAGAGATGTGGAGAGCTTTGTTCTTTTAAATGAATCGGTAATAACTATATTTCATAAAGTAATCAGTATGCATACTCGTACACCTTTTTTTGTTTATAAATGTACATGCATGTGTACATTCATACATGAAATTTCAAACTTTTTTGCTTTCATACATTCGAATTTTTTACCTAACTTTAAAAAATGAAAAATAAATTTTGTTATTATCAAAACAATAATAACAAAATTTTTACCTAACTT